CCTACCGACCCCCGAGGATCGGAGGAAGTCGATGAGTGACGCATAAATGAGTTTCTGTTCCGCGTTCACGGTAGTGTTCGGATGAGTCCACTCCAAAAAGGAGCGGGGGCGTATATGGTTCCTGGGAGGTCGTGGATCGCGGCCTCCCGCGCTTGCGCGTATCCAGCACACTCCCACACAAGATGAGAGGGTGTTCTGAGAGCAGCTATGGGATGATAGACTTGAGCTTGATAACATCGCAACCTCTCCCTCACCGCCCCCCCCCCCCCTTACCCCCCCCCCCCCCCCACAAAAAAAAAAAGATATTTTATGTGACGCAACGCGTACCACAAACAGTCCTCACATACATGTTAAAGGGATACTTCAACGAAATTTGAAATATTCCCGTCATGTTCAAAAATAGGTTGAATATGATCCACAATATCCGTAAATGACCATCGCACGTTTGTATTTTGAGCCTGGTGGCTGTATTTTTCGTTGTAAACGGCCCACTCTGGCAAGCGCTCGGAGAGGGCCCAGCGGAGACCACGTGACATCCAACGCAATCGTGACGGAGGTCGTCTCAGGACGAGCAAAGCTACGGCGAGGCTGACGTCGATAGGATGGCCTAGTCGTTCCAGCCACCGAAGCGGCTGCTTTTGTACGAATTTTGAGTGACGGGTTAATCTTCTGTAATCTTGTAGGGGGACAATAGCGACTTCTGTGACACACAAAAGGCATTCTCGGGAAGAGGGGAGTTCCTCCTGCCCCTCTTCCCTCGTCGTGGCCGGATCCGAGACAACCTCCGTCACTAGCTGTCAAGGTTCCTAGACGGGCATTACAAGCGAGGCGTTAGCGACATCCACCAGGTGCTCTTTGCTAATCGTTAAATTCGTTTTAAAATTCCTTTTCGCGACTTTTTTAACAATATATTGGTATGTTCGATGTGATGCTGCTTTTTTGAACACATATAGACCAAAAAATTAGCGCCGAAATTTCGTTGTAGTATCCCTTTAAGGACCCCAGACTAGCGGTTGTACTGCACTGGCCACATTTCTCATCTACAGCAGGGGCACCAGACGCCCGCTGGGACTGACCAACTGCCCATTGCACAAACAAACGCACAGCATAATCACTACATACATTTTTCGCATACATGGAGGTAATACGAACGCCATGCAATACGCGCACTCGACACGGAAATCACCATCATGATGGCCTCCTCCCCCCGTGAAAACGAAACAAAAGTCCCATGAACATACAAAAAAAAATGAAGATGTTGTTTGAAGAACTTACAGTCTGCATAAGATCATTAAACAAATCACACGTGAAATATTTGCCTTTTCGATACATATGGTTTCCAGTGTGCACTGACACTGTGATGGTTTTGCTGCTGGGCGCGTATTCCTTTGGCAGTAATCATCACGCATCGACGAATTCGTTTTGAACAAGAATGACCACCAGGATAGCGGGATGATGTCACGTGGAAGCCACGTAAAGGGTCCTCTGCGTTTTATGATTACCCGACACCTCAAAAGGCAATATTCGGGGAGGAACACCTCAGCGAATTCATACAATTACAAAAATGCTGCCTTAATATTTCACGCGATACGCATTTGCAGTCTCTCGAGGTTTATAAACTCTATATTTTAGTAGAAAGAAGGAGCAACCATTGTAGACGATAATTATTTGACGCAGTCGCCAAAAGTCTAAAACAGTGCCCGACAAAGAGGCTTCAAACGAAAATGTTGTAGCTTTTCGAAGCGGTTTCGGTGTGACCGCGCACCCAACTTCAAAACGAGAAAGTGTCTGTAACGCGAAATGTTGGAGCTGAAAGGGAGTAGCGACGGGTGGGTGCCGTCGAAGTGCCTTTTCAACACCCAAGAGGGTGTAAAAAAAGAACATTAGTATGTGCATATTTTCAAAATGGGAACAGAAACCCTAACGTAACAAATTTGCGGACGATAATTATCCGACGCAGACGCCAGGAGTCTAAAACAACGCCCGATAAAGAGGCTTCCTTATCGTACCTGTTTTACGCCCTTTTAATAAATGAAGTGTTTTCGACGTGACAACACCCTACTTCAACACAAGAAAGGCATTATCACGCAAAACGATGATGCTCAAAGAGAGTAGCGACGGATGCGAGCCGTCGTGGCGCCCTTTCAACACCCAAAAGGGAGTAAAAATATTGTGTATGTATAATGTCCGCAAAAAAAAAAAAAAAAAAAGATTATGATGTTTTTTTTATTATTGGGGTCATAATGAACTTCATACTAAGGCGAGAGTCCCAACAGTGCAATGGGTTGTACGGGTACACGTTTAGGGCGTATCGCCTACATTTCGGCCTATTAAATGATAATAGCCTCTTGTAAAGCAGATCGGACAAGAAAATACCCGGGAAACAATACTATAACTCGTAAGATGCCTCACCACGCAAGAATGACGAGAAATATCCTCAAAAAGTATTATAGTTGCGTCGACTGCGTCAACTACAAACATAATAGACTAATAGTACAGTACATGTGCGGCACATGCGGAAGGAAGCAGCCGAACTTGTCACTCATAGAAAGCGCGTATTCACACAATAGTGACATAACAATTGATACGCCACATTACTCGTCTGAGCGTCCAAGTTGTCTGCTATGAGCTATATTCACCATCGCATTACTCGTCTGCAATGCACTGGTTGTCGTCTGCTAGTGACGGTTAACTCCCCTCCTGATACCCCGCTATACAATTCAGAAGGCGCGCTGATAAGAAAGGGTAACAATAGCAATAAAAATGAGGAAACAAAAGTACTCATTATCAGCAACCGGCTAACCTCGACATCCTTCTAGACCTCGCTCTCGCCGAACAAGATTTCAAAGCGAAGACCAAAACAGAGCAAAGCGACTTGAATGCGCTCATTGACGGGCGTTTTCTGCCACGTTAAATACAAAGAAAAAAAAAAAACTGTTGCTTACAAATCAGCGGGCTCCTGCATTCGTGCACCACACCTTTCCGAAAAGAGCCGCAGACTCTTCAGCTGATCGCAGACACGCAGTGACAGTTCACGATGAGCCGGGAGGGAACGCGTGCCTCTTTAGAATATGGCTCCTCACTTCGTCGTCGTCGTCTTGCCAGAATGTAAATGAACATCCGCACCATCAAATATATCCCCTCCAAAAAAAAAGTTCCAGCGCAGAAAAAGAGGTACACCTATCTGATTAGGCCTACACACAAGATCCGCGCACGCCCGAAGATAGGCCCACCCGCAAAACATTCTGGACTAGCGGAGCAGCAAGCAACAAACATGCCAAAAGAAAACAAATCTACTCACTGCCATGAGAGCCCGATGCCGTGAAGTCGATCCCGAAAAGACCGTTGTCGAGTCGGGCCCGACGACGACATGACGGTGTTTTTTTTCTCACCGCTGTCGACTCCGCTCCCACTAATCTTCCTCGCGAACCGCTCGGCAGTAGAGAGCGGTGGACGTCTCGACGACCATGTTTTCTTTTAACTTTTTTTTTCTTTTCCTCCGCTCGGGCTCCGATGCTTGGTCAAGGTCGCGATGGTCCGCGAGGTAACGTGCCGACCGTTTGTCGCAGCAACGGAGAGCAGCGCATCGGCGACGATCTCTGCTCACTGCAAGAACACCGGAGTCGGCGGCGCTGGCTTTTGCTAGGCGTAGGAGGCGAGCGCAGTACTCCTCCGATCGAGAATCTTCCTCGGCGAAGAACGAACTGCTTGTCCGCAGGAGACAGGTGTTATGTAGTCGGTCGCGATGTTCCGGGGCAGGTTTGCGATGAAAAGAACGGAGCGATGGAGAGCAGCGGGAGGGGTGAAGGAAGATCTCCTCCCTTCCACGGCGCTGTTGTTGTTATCCCAATGTTTACGCGCGTTGCACGGCAGCGGCTGCGATCTGCAGAATCTCTGCCACCTGGATCGCCATGTTTGATACGAAGATGACGTCACGAAGGACGCGCGAACACCCTGCGCCATCTATCCGTAGCGCGTTCAACCCGTTCAACGTTTTCGTTTTGGAGAGCTTCCTCAAAGAGCCGAGAGGGGGCTTCATATTTTCCTCGCCGCCATTAATCCCCGGATGTGTTCTTTTCCCAAGTAGCCATGGCGCCGACGTAAGTGTTTCACCTTCTTTTCGACTCAATCCGGCGTAATCGTTGCCCGAGAAAAAACTTTCAACCTCATAATTCGATCCAAATTGACCTGAACTTAACGTGGATTCGGGATTTTGGCGTATTAAATGATTGCGGAATTTTCGAACCTTTCAAAAAGACGGCGACAAGCGGACCCCCTCGAACCCACGATCACACCAGCACCCACAGCCGGTGCGTTCATTCACTGACATGTGTCGTCTTGTCTTCGCAGCGCTACAAAGAAACCCGAAAAGCAGAAGCTTCCGGAAGTTCCGGAGACCCTCCTCAAGCGCCGCAAGCAGCGTGCGCTCTCCAAAGTTAAGCAGCTCCAGAATGCCATCAAGCAACGCAAGGTGAGACTCGTGCTAACTCTTGTTCCGCTGACGCATTCTACGAGTACTGCAGTGACCGCTTTGTGTTTCAATCTATAAACAGGCAAACCGCGCGAAGCGGCTGGAGATCTTCAAACGCGCCGAACAGTACGTCAAGGAGTACCGGCGTCAAGAAAGAGACACCATTCGTCTCAAGCGCGTCGCCAGGAACAAGGGCAACTTCTATGTCCCCGCGGAACCCAAGCTCGCCGTTGTCATCCGTATCCGAGGGTAAGAAGCGATTCACTATCCAACTCACTTGCGCACCGCAGTAGAATCCACCGTAGTGTTGGTTTGTTGTCGTCTTTAATGGGTCAATTGAATCCTCGTTTCAGTGTTAATGGAGTGAGCCCGAAGCCCAGGAAAGTCCTGCAGCTGCTTCGTCTGAGGCAGATCAACAACGCCACCTTCGTCAAGCTGAACAAGGCGACCGTGAACATGCTCAGGATCGCCGAGCCTTACATCACCTGGGGGTGAGTAGGCAATGTGACATCGTGTTGCTGCTTGTATTATGCCCTACAGGGGCCCTGCAATGACTTTTTGATTGGTTTTTAATTTCCACCGAACCTGAGTGTACTGAATGTAGTAACTTAGTGGAGGTTTTCTCTAAATTCGCTTTATTTTAAAAGTTGTAGGCAAATAAAAAAATTCAAACACAAGCAAAAAATAACCTCCTTCATGACATCCCTGGCCCTAAATTGGGTGGCCAGTCTGCGGTGGCTTACATTGATGACCGCTTCCCCTGCAGTCTCGCGCGCACACAACGGCTCCTTGCTTGCTTCAGCCCTCCACCGCGCTTGCTGGCATAAATTTACCTGGTCTGTCAAAGTTGGAGCTCCAAATTCTCGATAGAGGTGCGGAGCTCTGAGTAGTACACCGTACAGGGACACTCCTCATAAGTGTCCGTAGCACGCTGGCAAAGCCTCTCGGCCCCAGCTCGACAACACTCAAGTTCCGGACAAGTCTAGGCGAGTCTCATGTGGTCTCGCAAGGAGACAAATTTGTATTTTCACTTCTTGCAAAATGTGCCACCAACGTCATGCGTCGTCTGCTAGGATCTGCGGGGCATAGCCCTCGGAGATCCTGAAGCAAGCGTGCTTCGGAATCGTGGGAATGCGAGTATGTCGACGGGTCATCGCTCAATGTTTCTTGTTTCCATACTTACTGAACTGCATTTGTTTCTCTTCTCATCTAAAATAGTGGACAAAAACTTTCGTAAATATTTTGTACGGTTGGCGCCATTTATATTTTGTATTTCGACTAAAAATGAAGTGTTTAGCAGTTTTGATACATGCCGCGCACGTTTAGCATCACAGGGCACTCTGTAGGAGGGGAGGAGGTTTCCGGTTAGAATATGACACACTGATATATTTAGTCACTCTCTCCATGCCCGCTGGGTTGCCCGAACCACAAGAGATGTGGAGAGTGCAAAAAGGGTACACTTAAATAATATTGCGGGGCCCCTTTAATCAGTTAACAGTAACATGTTTATGCGGAGTGTAAGTGCATCTGCTTCTGGCACAGGTGTTGGCAGTTATATCAGAATGCCAAACTCTTATTGACTGATTGAAAAGAAAATAGTGGGTAGATCTGAAGGCATCTAGTGTTGAGGTCTGCCCACTAATCCTTTCAATCAAACCCAATCGGAACTTGGTGTCGTTCTGTCGTCTCCACAACTCCTGTGCAAGAAGCAAACGACTTGCTCTCCGCATTGGCATTGTCAAGAAATTTCTCTTTAAATTCTTTTAAGCTATTCAAATACGCTGAACGCATGCATGTTCGGGGGACAATGGCTGTAGCCTTTGGTTATTTCGTCTGGTTCAGTAAGTTGTCCGTTTCAGCCTAGAGATTAGATTCTGATGATTGTGAACTGACTTAACAGGTACCCCAACCTCAAGACTGTGCGTGAGCTGATCTACAAGCGGGGCTTCGGCCGCCTGGATGATCGCAGAGTGCCACTGTCCGACAACGCGGTCATTGAAAAGAGGCTCGGTGAGTTTCAACATTGCGTGCCTGTGTTGCAGACTCCCTTGCATCAGCAGACTGCTTTTGTTTTGAAGTCTGTTGTATCCTTCCTTTGAGAAGGTTAACCGCACCGTCCCTTAACCGGCCAGCAGTAGTTTAGTGTTGGCACGGCCAGAAAAGAGTGCGAACATTGAAGCTCCAACTTTGTCGCAGTTGGTGTGTGTTCTAGCACCCTTTGAAGTGCTTGAAATGCTGCACATTGTTGTACATCCTATCTAATAATCACTTTCATAATCCCAGCATCCCTGTTGATAGCCAAGTGGTCTCAAAATCCGTACAAGTCTGCTCTTAACAGTTTCTAATGCCTTTTTTAACCAAAAACTGTACAAGTGGTGTGTTGTTTGAACATAGTACATCCTGATCTAACGAGTCCTATAATCCTGGTACTTCTGCTGATAGCAAAATTGTCTGGAAAGCCTTACAACTTTACATTCAGTAGTTACTGCTCTGAACAACAGGATATTTTGACCAAACACTGCACAGCCAAAACTAAATGTGTGGTGTTGCTTGTAGTAATGATGATCACTCCAACCATCTAAGCACTCTTGTTGATAGGCAAGCTATCTCAAAATTCATACAAGTTTGCTTTTAATAGCTACCAACTTCTTTGAGCAACAGGACCTTTTGACCAAAGGCTGCTTAGCAAAGAGAAAACTCGTGGTATTGCTTATGGTATGAGTCATTCAGACATTTTATCCTTGTAAGACTCAAAACTGTAAGCTGTGCCCATTAGATGGGGGTGGCCAGTCAACTGAGTGGTTTAAGGTATCAAAAACTTGTGTCTGTTGAAAAGTACGAATTCAGAGCTTGCCCAAGACTAAAGTTGCTTGTGTGCATCCTGTGCGCAGGAAAGAAGGGCATCATCTGTGTGGAGGACTTGATCCACGAGCTGTACACAGTGGGCCCCAACTTCAAGAAGGCCAACAACTTCCTGTGGCACTTCAAGCTGAACACTCCAAGGGGAGGCTGGCGCAAGAAGACAAACCACTACAGCGAGGGGGGAGACTTCGGAAACCGGGAAGACCTCATCAACCGCCTCCTCCGCAGGATGATCTAGGCCCTGATCCTCCACCCAGAATAAAACAAAGGAAAGACCGAACTCTGTGTTGTCCTCGTTTACTTTTGAGCCCCGTTTTCGATACCACGTTGAGGACGTTCAAACGATTAGCTCTCTGTTTAGGGTCGGGTAGGTTGAGGGATTGCAGGGATCGTAGATTGAATGATGTCAGGATATACTGACTGTGATGGAAGGGCTGTGTCATGAATGAGTTTGCTCCATGTTGTGCCAAAATGCCATTTTTGCTAAGAATTGTGCCGAGATGAACTTCAGCAAAACCAAAAATAAAAATGAAGTAGGAGGAAAGGAAAATGGTACAAATACAGATTATGCAATGTCTCAACTCACCCACTCAGCATATTGTTTGTTTCATCTTGGGTCAGATCACAGTCAAGGGCTCCAGGTACCACCATAAACTCTAAAAGAGCAAGTTGCGGGGCATTTGCTGTACCCGATTTAGTCAATGAAAGAATACGCACAGCAAGATGGACGAATGCCATGATGTGCTTTGAGTTAAGGTGAAACAAAGATTAGAGATTGCTTGCCAACTGCGCTGAACGGTTGGTCACTAACATCGCCTGGAGTTCCAGACAATGTCGATGTCGGAAGCTAAACGTCTCGAGAATTATGTGAAATAGTTGGGTGGCAGCTACTGAGAAGTCAAAACCACAATCTTGCAGTCCGGATGAGGTTATCGGTTATGTCAGCTGCATGCGTCCGTGCCACCTCTCGCTGCCTCTCACCGGCACGTCGAGCTTCACTGCTTTACACCGGAGTGCTAGGAGCAACAGTTGACATGGGTGAGCATCTCGGAACTGGTCCAGATCTGCCTTCTTTGGTCTTAATTTTAGGTTGATCTCCAATTTTAGAAAGCTGCTACGAGAAGAGAAAAGACGGTGAGAGTGCAGGCGAGCTGGTGGTAGCTAATCATTGAGACGTTCTCTGTGTCTGTTCCTTCTACTGAAAGTTCTTCCAATTTCTTCCACCGCAGTCTCAGGTGTAATACGACATGACGAGAAGAGAAAATGGAAACTCTGGTCTGTATTTGATTAAATGCGGCTGTTGATAGAAAGAGCAGCAAACTTTGACCTCACTCTGGTTCTAACGCAGCCAAGAGCATAACCGGTTAGAGCTGAGCTAGTTTCTACATGTCTGAGGAAGCAGCTTGAGCACTACAGACAGGACAGGACATACACAAAGCTGTATGTCTTTCTGTAAGTGTTCAAGCTGTTTCCTCATAGACATTGCTAAGAGCACTGTAAATTTTAAAGCTCAGGAGTAGGTACTCGTAATATTTGTGGGTGGTTCTTTTTGCAGTTTATATACTAGGTTTGAGTTAGGTAGGTTCTTAAAATCTGTCTGGAAAAGGGGGGGAGGTGCCACATTTTTATTGATACACATACTTTAGTGCCTATGCTGGTTTTTGCTGCAATTTTACAGGAATTATATTTACAGGCTAAATACCAGGTGTAAGTGGGAGGGGAGAGAGGCTTTATCCCAACAAGTGTTTGCTACAATTCATTTTTCAAGCATTTTTTTAATACCCATTGTAGATAGAACCTACTCTGATCAGAACCTTATTTCTAAAACTATGGCTCCGTGTTCCTTTTGTGCCCTAACTAGTTTTATTACACAAGGTAAGTTATATTGTCCACTGTCAAAGAGCAACCCCCAATCACTATCGTAAATGAACTCGTGTAGAGACGCAATCACTATTTCATTTTCAAGTGATGTGCTACTGCTAACAGATGTTAGCATCTGCTCCAAACCAGTATTTTGCCCTGCTGCTACAGAACCTGCTACAAACGTCAAATGCCACTTCCACCACTGTACTGACTGGCCCAAGGTGTTGGGCAGACAGTTTTCTACTCTCGTGACTACCTATTTTCCTGGGCAGGACAAGCACATATGTTTAGTACATGTAAATGTAACCATCACTTCATGGTTACATTGGTCAAAAGGTAACAGTTAACTAAACATGCAGAAGTACCTACCGCACAGTCAATGACAACAACTCGAGGCCAAACGAGTTTTGCTGTCTCGTATCCAAAGATAGCCCTCCTCATGTTTCTCACCATTTATCTTTTCATTTTGGATGGGTGCCCTTCCATGATTTTATGGTGATGTATAGGCCTTTTCCATAAGCATTATGTCTATTACTTGATTAAATAGGGTGCTCACCTAATCAAGGTACTAACTAAAAAGACATCCATCATGAATTCAAAGAGTATGGAGTACAGTACTTTGGTCATACCACATAAAGTCGATAATGAAATATATTTTGGGATGGGTAAATCCCAATGCACCTGTTTTATGTACCAAGATTCGTGCTGTGGCTTTCGACACAAACACCAATGGTTGTCATTATGCTTGCATGATCATTTGCAACATGCACACACATAGTTTCTCTCCAAGACTGATGGCTCAAGAAATATGTTTGATTGCAAACCTGGTGCATTTGGACACACCTACCCATAAATGGCACACCTCTCCTAACCTTGTTCACAGTATTGCCGCGCGCCAAGTAGGCAGCGCGGCCGTAGCCTAACGGTTATCGCGCTTTCCTCCCACGCGAATGGCCAGGGTTCGATTCCTGGTCGCGGCTACGCATTTTTGTTTACACTGTAATGTGATGTTCTAGTAAATTCGAGAACCGTCTAGCTGATTCGAGGTTGGAATGTTCTACACGTCGAACCTTCTACATCGAGTGCTCCAGAAGCCAACGCGTGTACAAAAGCGGCTCCGCCTGGCAAGCAGGAGTCAGTTTCGCCCCAGCGCTCGACTCTGCTGTCTCGCCGACTTCGACGCCCGCGACGCTCTGTTATGATCTTTTGTACCCTTTTAGTTTTGGCACAAGTTCGCCACATTAAACGTTTATTTCTTCCTTTTTATTTCCTGTTTTTTTGGTCACCACCCGTGACAGTATTATCCCTCTGAAATTGTGCACCAAGGTCATGTCCTGGGAATCAATCGTTAAGGCTGTTGTATACAGGATAAAGTTTGCTCAGGATCGTGGCCATCCTCAATTTTAACCGTTTTTGTCACACTTCATTTTTTCTTCGTGGAAGCAAAACCATGCATTTGCTTCTGGTTGGGTATGGTACTTGACACTATCTGCTGATACATGGCCCACTTTCTGAAACATTCCGTGTTATGAAATATTTTCGAGGGAATATAAAAACTCTAATTGATTGGCGTTCTATGATAACCAGGCAACTACAGTACTTGGGAACATTACAATCTTTTGTTAAAAGTCATGAATTTATAATTTTGCGAACAAAGGCTGAAAGGATTCAATGCAAAGATATTTGTATATTTGTGGAATAAAAACTGTCCAAAAGTTTAATTACTGCTTATTCATATTTTATGACAGTGTAAATTCTTATTTCAGTGCATGTGCCGAGGCATTGATGTCGAAGAAAGTTGGGGACGCTTACAAAGGAAAAAAACTTGTGGTGATGTCCCCGACGTGAAAGCATTTGAACTGAAGCTCGTGCCCTTCCAGCACCAGGAATTTCTATATAAAAAAAAAATAATTGTTATAGTCTTCCTTTTTGGAGAATACTATATGGAAATGAAACAATCACACTGTCCCTCAAAGAGTGTCTTTGTGAGATAGTATGCAATGTGAACAAAGTTTGAAGTCGAATTTTCACATGCTTGTAAATTAAGTAATATTGAATACCAAAATTCTTACTTGTAGGAGGATCAGCGGCAGAGTGCATTAGTGCAGCTCGTAGCACGTGGAGCGAACGCTTGCACTGCAGAACCCAGGGAGCCTGGGTTCAATTCCCACCTCCGCCCGCTTCGATCTGGATGAGCATCGTACTGGTGCGCAGTCATGTATCACTACTGCGTGGTGCAGTGTTAAAGACCCCTGGCTAGCGCTCATACTATACTGGCCAAATTTCTCGTCTACGGTGTAAACCGGCGACACCGTACCTCGAAGGCAGACTGACCTGACACTGCATAAATGTAAAAATATATATATATATTTTTTCTTTTTTTTAGAGGGTTAAAGCAACTATGTTACATATGCCGAAATTAAGAAAATATCATGGAACATCACTCTTCCCTTGCAACAGTTTTTCTATACATATTTTATTTGCATGAGTTGATTTTACCCCCCTGTCCATCTCTGGTTTTCTGCCCGGCCCTCTCTTTCTCCACTTGGCAGCTACATTCGGCCCGCTGCAGCAATGACTTCCAGCGACGAATGGGAGCAAGGTACCTCCTGCAAGTGGGCCCTGCTGCGGCGGTGATGCTGTCTATGAAAATGGTACGATCGGGTCAAGCGATTAACAACGTCGCCTCTTGTGCGAATTGACGATGTTGTTTCCGCAATGCTTACGTGTCTTGTTTTTGCGTTTCAATGTTACCGTCGCCACAAATCTTTTCTACATTAATTACCGTACTGGAAAGAAAAGCCTGCTGCCCTGCCAGCACATTACAGTTTTCCAACCCTGATGTGCCACACTTACATGGGCAATGCAATGCACACGCAAAATATCAATATTAAAAAAAAAAAAGAAATTAGAAAACAGGATGGATGCTAACAACCGTACCTCTTATAATGGGCAGCAGCTTGTGCCACCTTGCCTAGAAATTAAAAACCAAAAGTATGATTTTGCCCTTTTAAGTCAATTTCTGACCAGGGTTGCTTGCATTTCTTTTGAAGGAAGAGCCCCTAAAATCCTAGTGTCAACTCTTTAATCGGGTAGTACCAACACATTAAGCCAACAAAAAAAAACTCTCCACAAACGCTCACTTGGCCCGACAAAGTCTTTTGTCACATCGTCTTGAGGAACTGGTTGAAGGTATCCACGGAGGTCTTGGCGACGTTCTCGCAGAAGTCCGCGTCGCTCCCCGACACGAGTGCCTTGAGAGCGACGTAGTTTGGCTGGGTGGCGTCGTACTGGTCCCTGCCCAGCTTCGCGAGAAATTCGTGGCGAGGCCGGAGGACGCATTTCCGGGTTCGTATGATGGAGGGAAACTTCAGCAGCTGATCGTGGCTCAGAGCCATGGTGTTGTGGAGGTAGTCGAAAGCTTCCACTATGAGCCTGCGAGCTACGGTGGACGAGAGAGACGGGGCGTTGTGATTCGTTAACTAGACGTAACCACTTTCGTCCGTGATTTAGGATGGGCAGTTCAAAGGACGGAAATGCTTAACATCTCGCAGGCAATTTCCGAACCTGACCTACCCGTTCAACTTTGATTCCAAAGAGTTAACACTCTCGGTAACATTTTTAGCTTCCCATCACGTAGACTGGGTGGAAGTGAACATTTGCAGTCCCTGTTCTTAGAAAATCTGAGATAATTAGCAGTTACTTTGCTCCTTTCCAAACTAGTCACTTTAATGAGCACAAATTATACCGGGTAATATTTTTTTGTTCTAGACAGATTTAAAAAAAAAAAAAAAAATTTTACTGCTAAGTTAATGCTGTTTTCGCTATATTTTTTCTTGAGCTTGGCAGATATTCAAAGGGCGAACAACCGTCACAGTTTGGTGAGTAATTAACTAAGCTCGTTAATTAACTGGTTAATTAGTGCAAATAAACTTATGATTCCAATCAGAAACTTACTGAGCGTTATCAGAAACCACTATATCAACTCCTTTTAGAACGACTTGAAACTCGTGGGAAACTCTGGGGCGGGCCAAAGTTACCGCTCTTGAAGCAGGTGCAAAGCTAGCCGTGGCGCAATGCGATAACAATCTATAGTCAGTGACAGGTCAAGAACGAAGTGAAAGCTCCTCCCACCCCTTTTCACTTCAACGGAGCGAACGGTGGAGAGGAGGTCGCCTTCTCTCCCGCGTTCTCGCTGCCAAAGTGGAAAGAGGTGGGAGAAGCTTCTACTTTGTTCTTGACCTGTCACCGACCATAATCATCCACTTTCCGCCAATGCTGGCTTTGCGCCTGCTTCCCGAGTGGTAACTTTGGCGCATCCCCAAGTTTCCCACGAGCTTCAAGACGTTCTAAAAAGAGTTGATATAGTGGTTTTCGATAAGGCTCAGTAAGTTTTTAATTGGAACCCTGCGCCTATTTTCACTAATTTAAAAAGTTAATTAACAAATTTTCGTTAATTACTCACCAGATAGAGACAGTTGTTTGCCCCTCGAATGTCCGCCGAGCTCGAAAAACATATAGTGAAGACGACATAAACGTAGGAGTAAATGCACCTTTTTTGAAAATCTGTTTCGAATAAAAAATATCATTTGGTATGGTAGCGGTTCACATGCAAAGGCAGCAAGTGACTACCAATGGAGAGTGCAAGAAGCGAAAGACAGCACTCACTTGAAAGAAACAACTTGGGACAGTTCAGCAGCAGTTGCTTGGTCTGTTCCGGGCTGAAGCCCATCTCTTCTTTGATGGCAAATGTGTTATCCTGAAAAGTGGTCCCACATATCAGATTCATCATCATGTCACATTCCTCCCAACATGGAAATGCCTTTTAACTGCATCTATTCAAGAAGCCATGATACACCCACTCGTAAAATGTCTACTGACTGCACCTATTCTCTGCTTTAAATTTATAATTTTCTGTTTGAACCAATTTGCATGTCCGATGTCTTTGCTTCATATTTAGTTTGCATTGCAACAGACAGAACCTCCCATGCAGCCCTTGAATAACCACTTGCATAAAAAAACACACAGTAGTACTAAATAAGTTTCAGAATACTCATAAGCATGAAAGAAGATATATCTCTAAATTTCACCCTGCAACAATGACTCTTGCATATGAAACAAAAATAGTCTAAACAACCCAATGTGTTAATCAAGAACCCTAAAAAGTTCTGGAACATCATGAACAAAAAGATTGAGTTTTCTGTTACTGCTGAGACCGGTTATAACGAAGTCGGTTATAATGAAATAGCGGCTACAGCAAAGCGATCACGATTTCCCATTCCCTTTTGCACTTCGTTATAACCGAAGTCGGTTATTACAAAATAGCGGATATAGCAAAGTGATTTCCGATTCCCGTTGACTTCGTTATAACCGGCCTCGACAGTAGTCTAAAAAACGAAATTGGGGATGCTATACCAATTCAAGAGTGTGCGAATGTATTGAACAGAGTTTTTCTTGAATCATTTTCTAGTGAAAGCAGCAAGGAGTGTCCTCTTTTAGACATTTCAGACTATTTGCCGATGGACCATATCTTGCTTGATTGTGCTGGTGTCGATCGTGTCACAGAAACATTAAGATGGTCCTTAATTAATTCAAAGCTTTTGACAAACACTAAGCATCTCTTCTATTACAGTTGAAAACGAGCGTGTTGGTTAATAGATACAAAACTTGAAAGTATAAAACAGAGAGGACGAGGACGGGAACAGGACATCTTTCATTTAGCAACAACATAGAATGGCACAACGATAAAACCGCCCCCCAAGGGTCTCAATTTTCTCAAAGAGGGAGAGGAGATACTAGTTATAAAGGAAAGGGAATACACTAAAAGTTTGAAAAGCGCATCTGTAATCTAGTTATTGACAAAGACAGAGGTCGAATTCTTAACACCAGAGATGACTAGGTAGAATATTGACACCTCGTCGTGACGCTACAGCTTTTTAAACTTTTAAATTTATAGTACAATTCCCTTTTTGGACTGCAAACAAGAATAATCCCGCATTATCGCTGACAATGACCAAGGTTAATTCTAAGTAATCGAAAATAACTAGATTACTGATGCGCTTTTCAAACTTTTCTTTTAGTGTATTCCCCTTCCTTTATAACTGGTATCTCCTTTCCCTCTTTGAGAACGTTGAGACCCTTGGGGGGCGGTTTTATCGTTGTGCCATTCTAACGAAAGATGTCCTGTTCCCGTCCTCGTCCTCTCTGTTTTATACTTTCAAGTTTTGTATCTCTTCTATTATTTTAACTAAACTTTTTGATCAGTCCATTAGAGATTGTGTTCTTCCTTTAGATTGGAAGGTGGGGAAGGTGGTTCCCATTTACAAGACTGGTGACTAACATTCCCCTTTAAATTATCGCCCAATCTCTATAAGCAGTGTTCCTTGCAAACTCCTTGAGCGTATATTTTCCCACCTTGTCAATTTCTTAGAATGTAATAACTCTTTCTGCCCATCCCAACATAGAATTCGAAAAACGTTTTCATGCAAGACACAGCTTTTATCATTCGCACATGGCCTTCACTGCATCCTGGACCGAGGATCCCAGGCAGACTGCATTTTTCTAGATTTCTCCAAAGCGTTCGATAAAGTATCTAATAAACTACTACTTCTGAAACTGTCCAAGCTTAACATAGATGTTAATGTTCTTGCAGATTCGATCTTTTCTATCATTGCCATCATAATTTGTTACGGTAAATAATAGTAACTCTTCCTTCTCGTCTGTAGCCTCTCGGGTTCCCCAAGGATCTGTTTTAGGACCTTCACTTTTTCTAATATATATTAACGAGTTCCCTCTTAATGTTTCCTTGTCTATTTGCTTATTTGCTGACTGTGTGATTTGCCGTGAGGTGCCTAATGATCATGATAACATCATGCTTCAGTCCGATGCTAACGCTATCTACCAGTGGTGTGACGTATGGTCTATGACGCTTAATACTAACAAATGTAAGTCCATGCGTGTATCTCGCCAATCACATGAAACTTGCAACTACTTTCTTAATCAGGCTCTGCTTGACATGGTATCTTCTTACAAATATTTAGGTATACATATAACTTCTAATTTCTCATAGGAAACACATGTTCAGTATATCACATCTAATGCTAACCGTATGTTACGCTACCTCAGGCGTAACTTTTCATCAGCACCTGATTCCCTCAAGCTAATTCTTTATAAAACTCTAGTTCGACCAAAATTAGAATATGCAGCCTCTGTCTGGGATCCTGGACAGGCCACTCATCACCGCGTTTGAAGTCGTTCAAAATAGATCTGCTTGTTTTATTCTTCTAATTATCACTATACATCTAGTGTCACTTCTATGAAATCAACTTTGCCACCCCCGCCCCTCTTCCTGCGACATAACCTTTCATGCGTCTCTTTATTTCACAAACTTTATTTTTATAACTCTGCGCTTCGCGACAAATTAATCACCCGTCCCTTTTATATTTCTGCTCGTCATGCTCATCAGCACAAAGTTGAGGTACTGCCGAGACCGGTTATAACGAAGTCAACGGTAATCAGAAATCCCTTCACTATATCAGCCATTTCGGTTATAACAAAGTGCGAAAAGGAATGGGAAATCGTGATCGCTTCGCTGTAGCCGCTATTTTGTTATAACCGACTTCGTTATGACCGGTCTCGACAGTACCTATCGCTATCACATCTACATTCAAATCTTCTTTCCTTCATCGCACATCCTTTGACTAAAACCACCTTCCCAGACCAATTGCATCCATTACTGACACTGTACTTTTTAGGTCTGCTCTTACCAATAATTTTTTTGTTGTTGTTGAGTGTGAATAACTTTGCTTTACATCGTTTTGATCGCAACTTTGCTCTCCCCCTCCGTAATGCCTTTGGGCCCTGAGGGCAAAGAAAATAAATAAATAAAATAAATTTGTCTCCGTCTAATAAAAACAAATAAAATCTCTGGAATCTTCTTTTTCTATGGACTGTGTGGAGTTCACAGTTCAAGAAATATTCCAAATCTCTACGCTGCTCTCGAACTAAAGAAATAGTACCGACCCCATCGATACGCATTTATCCACAGCACTCGGAAATTTCCCAAATCTTGAAACGGAGCGAAAAGAATTGGGCTGAACACCAATTTTATGATGCGAAATCCCAATATTGCTTTGCTCGGTCCAATTCTTTCCTTAATCACTTTTTGCCCTTCTAGAAAGTTACAGCCCATTGTCGGCTGTTATTGTGTGTTCGGGTTCAGAGCATTCCTGAACATACTGCATGTACAAACGTGGCGGTATTGCGTTGCTTTGGGACAGTCAACCTCCCGCTGCAAGATGTGTGGTACATACCTTTCTCTTGAAGTTAGTACTAGGTACAAGTTCACCCTAAGGCCCCGTCACACTGAGGCAACAGTTGGACAACTCTATCCGGCAACATGGGAAAGTTGTGTTGCCGGCGACCCTGTCACATCGCGGCAACAACAACAGTTGGGCAACGTGTTGCTGCTGCCCGGCAACCGTGTTGCCCGATTTGTTGTCCAACAACCCTGTCACACCACGCTGATGGCGAGGACAACACGGGAACACTCTGCCATCTTGATTGTTAACCTTCGTTCGTGTGCGGCGCGGAATCGCTGGCAATGTGACTCTACAAAGTGCTAGTGCGTTCGAAGGGCCGGGAATTACCACGGTGCAACATCAACCAGTGACTGTGATTAGAAAACTTGACACGGGGAGTATTTTCCGCTCTTTATTTTATCGAAATGTTCTTCATTCGCTGACAAAGCAGATAGCCCTAACCGAGGAAAGTGACATCGCTGACATATTTTCGGGATTTACACCACCGTATGAAGTGTTTCTGTCCGGTTCTTTCATGCAATTCCTATGTCTACTGTAAAATTGAGTTAGCACCGGCAGTACCCCAAAGCGTCTTTTGTAGCGTGGTGTTGAGCTGAACTGACAGTGCTTCAAAACTCCAACACCAACACGATCGGCCTTCTTAAAAATCGAAGGAATAAATATTTTTCAATGCTGTCTACTTGCCTACCGCCTGCAACATAATCTCTTCATTCCCCCAAAACGTTCTGGGTATTTTGAAAAAAAATCGGGTGTCTGGTAGCGGCTGTTTCCAAGTTCCAAGCATCAACAATCATGATCAGAAAAGTCATTTTAATGCTTCGATTTTTTAATCTTTGGTTTCCTGGATTATTTTTATTATATTTCATCAGCGGGTGAGTAGACATGCCATTTTATGTTACTATCAGTTATGTGAGCTGGTCTCTCGGCAATCCTAATCTCAAAACCAGTCTGAACGTTCACGACCGTAGCTGTGACCATTTTGAAAATCACTTTCCGTAACTACGCAGCAAAAACATTAATCGAAAATATTTTAGCTGCATGCCAGCCCTAATTATTGTTAAATAACGTTTTCCAAGCCTTTATTTGAGTACGACGTTATTGATAGAGGACTAGCTCTACCATCGAAGCTATCTATGTTGTCATGCTGCCGGCCCGAAATTCGCTCAGCTAGCGATCAGGGCAACACATGTTGTCCAACACAAGTTGCTGCTGTTTTTGTTGCCGAAAGCTGTCATACCGAGGCAACATTTTAGTTGTCGTACATGTTGTCGTGCTGTTGCCGCAATGTAACACGTTTGTCGGACAACATGGGGAGCGAGCGACAAGTTGCCCGACTGTTGGACAATGTGTTGTGTTGCTGTTGCTGTCGTGTTGCCTCAGTGTGACGAAGCATTTATTAAACATGTTGTTCAGTTCTACATCCGCCTAGCATTTCACATTCGTAACGACATCAAGAGTGTTGATGACGACTCACACTGATGAGGTAGATGCTACACGTTGGGAGCTTGGGCAGTCTGGCCACCACGTGCCTGACTTCATCGCCGGTGAGCTCAAATGTCTTCTGCAGATAGCCAAGTCGCCGGTCCATTCGGCGAACGCTGAACATGAGAAAGAAGGGTGCATTGCTAGCAATGCGCCCGACTTGTTCTTTCGTGAACTTCTTGGACAGCAGGTAGTCGACGCGCACTTGAAGGTTCTCCAGTTGTTCCTGCGTGGCGGCAGAACTCGTTCAAGCACAGATCATGATTTGTGCAAAGTCTAAACCACGACATGCAATTAAGTTGGATAAATGAAGTGTCTCAATTTCAAGGGTGAACAGCAGACACCGGACGCTACTCTAATGCCCGAGTCCTACTAGAGCAACGAAAGGCAACAACCAACACCGACAAGCCACAAACATGTGCAACATGCACGCAAAGGTATCTTGGGCAGGCTTGCAATCACTCGTGCTTACTTCACAAGCACCGAAAAACTGCAAGCCTGCTAAAGGTACCATTGTGTGCATGCTGCGTGTGTTCGAGGCTTGCCGGTGTCGGTTGTTTCCGTTTGTCACTTTAGTGGGTTTTGGGCATTGGGGTCATCCCCAAAAAATAGAAAGTGTGCTGTAAAACAAATCATGTGGGTCAGCAGTTTGAACAAAAAGAAGCAAAACATAAATCCTTTCAAAGCCCATAATACAGCTGTCATGAACAATGTCATTACAAGGTGTACACAGAGCAACACTGTTATTGCAAACAAGCGGTAGCCAGCTTTTACTATTTTTTTTCTTCAAAAGGCTGTCAATAAACATTTGGGGAACTAACCTAAGCGGTACAATTTAGTGACCACCAATGCCATTTCAAAATAAAATGGGAAGAAGCATTGATGTTCTGTCTGTACTAACAGTGTCATGGGGTGTACTTTTAATATCTTTATACAGCAGAATATAAGCAGAATATAAGCAGAATCACAGGCATACTTTTGCTTTGCATCACTATGTTCATATTCAGACCCGTGACCAAGGGACCGAGTGGGTCCCGAAACGTCGCGTTTATGTGTTTTTAATAAAACTTTGGTTATAGTCCGCAGAAACTATGTCATATTTTCACTATACTATCAGTCTTTACCATAAAATGTTACCAGGATAACATGGACTAACACAACACATCAGACAGAGCACAATGAGCCCGAGAACCGGGAAAACTAACTATAAGGACAAAGAAATACTAACATTTGAGACTTTTGCACTTGTCTATGCTTTTCATTAATTCATTCAGTCTTGAGTACCTAGAACGAATCTATGCCAGCCTGCCTGCCTTATTACTACTAACATTATTAAAAATGTTTACTCTGCCTTAATGGCTGTTTCTATTTGATCATGAACTCAGCTAGCTTTTGGAACATCTTTGTACTACTAACATATTTATAGGTGTCTTATTCTATCATTATATGTTTTACTACTATTATGTCTTGTGATCAATATTACTACCGTAATATCCCAAGACATCGCCCATCCCACTTTTTGGGCGAATATTGATTTCCAAAATAACACCAGGGTGATCGCCCACCCTACAAATACCCCAACCCTGTCTCCGCGATCTACGAACATTAACCCTACCAGAATGACGCGGCTGTGGGCCTTACGGTTGCAGGATGTTCGTGACAAAGTAAAACAAAGGAGTGAAAGACACTTTACTTCGTTCACGCATTTCCTCCCTGATTTCTGTGACCCTGAAGTCAGAGTACGCGTGCGAAAGGAATACGATAGAGATAACAAATAAAAAAATTTTGTTTTACTTATAAAAAAAAAACTCATTCAGACAAAAAAAAAAAAAATCAAGAAGGTAACACTAGCATTAACCCATTCAGGGATTGCGAGGTCAGCGAAGGCCCCATATCCTGGAATGTAACCCCAAAGTGTAAGGTCAAAGTCCGTCTCCACTGAAATCACTGCGAACCCGCTCGTTCCCCCGAAACATCACAACTGCGGTTGGTCAGCTTGTGCAATGTGTTGTGAGACAAAGCCAATTGGTAAGTAAAGATTTGCTGGCAGGCCGCACACAGAATCTTGTAAAACGTCCCATTTCGAGCTCCGTGTTCGTGGTGCCGTCCACGCCACGCAGCAACACTGCCTCAATCTGCATTGATAGCACATCGTGCACGGACGCACGCATGTATGCACGAAAAAAGAAAGTTGCACAAGAGCCTGCCTGCTCCTTGTGATCGACAAGGCGCCCAACTTCGCCTATTTGCGAACGCGATCACCAGCTTTCCTGCTTCTCCAGCATCCCCCAGCATTGTTGGATTTTTTATTTTCTTGTTTATTTTTTTTTTTCTAACGAAGAGAACATAGCGTAGTAAGAAACATGCTTTCACGGAACAAGCGTTCGTGCTGTGTGCCAATCGGCGGTATTCATCGTGCGTATTGTGAGCATTTCTTGAATAAAAGAATGAAACTAATAGGAGTTCTGAGTTTAATGTATCTCTAGTGCAGCCGCGCTAGATATGTACAAAGCATTTGGCGTTTTGTTTAGCTTTTTCTCAACTTTTTGTACTTACCCACCGAGACATGGCCCACCTTACATTTGTTATGAATCTCAGGCGGCAGGGGGGTGGGTGATGACTCAGGATATTACGGTATGTTATTATGTAACTTACTATATTATTATATGTCCGATTACCACAAATATGTTTATAGGTGCCACAATTTCCTACTCCGAATGGGAGATTCTTTCCGGGGCCCCACCTTCAGTATCCTTGGATTCTTGGTGAAGATGTAGCCGAGCCGATCCGGCTCCACTCCAAGCGACGTCAGGAACCGGATCACGGGTTCAACATCCTTTTCGAAGTCAAGCGCCAGGATCATCTGGGGCACCCCCGGCCTTCGGTCGAATCTGGAGAGATCCACTCCCAGCTGGAGGAACTTCTGGAGGGTCTCCGATTGGTTCACATAGGCGGCGAGGTTGAAGGACCTGGAAGCAGGATGGGAATCAAGACCTGCTTCAGAGCTCCCTACTTTACTTTTAGATACAAGACCTCCAACACCCCTGAAAATACCACTCTACGCACGTTTTGCTACAGAATCGTGTATTGTTAAAAAGAAACAGACAGTCAGATTGAAATCGGAAAAGTCTGATGCCGGAACGTCCACAAGTCATATGGGTCGTTTCAAACACTACAACTGTGTGTTCTGAATTTTCCGTAAATCAACAGGCTTTTGGTGTTCAGCTGGTCATCGAAAGGGCCTCTTACGAGTTCTCGTGTTCATTATTGAAGATGTGCTTGAAACTGCCTATTACTGAGTTTCGTGTCTTCAGCGTTTATTTCTTTCCACAGATGCGTTTTTTTTACAGTGCCAACTGTTGTTGTCCGGTGAAAGGTGGTGTTTATCGTTGCATATGCTGAAGGCAACAGGACACAGGAATGGGATTAGTCAACCTTCAGGGCATATGTGCATGACCCAAATACTTGAATAACATCCAAGTACTGATTAAACAAGGAAACAAGATAAGGGATATGCTCCCCACGGAAAGAAGCAGCCTTGTAGATAGCTCAGTGGGGGGGCTTGGCTTTTTCTTTTTTAAGGACATCTTCAATTCAAGGTTTTTCACTTTCTACAATATTGATAAAACCGGCACAGGGGCGACCTTTGGGGTACATACTGAAAGCACCGAACCCCACTTATTACTTCTCAAACACTATTCCGAGTTGTGTGTACAGAAGCTGTGCCAAGGACTCTATACCTGTGCAAACCTGGTCCGACTTCGTCCAAAAACTCGGGGTCCACTTCAGTGGAGAGGGCATCAGGGTTAGGCTCACTGGCGAGCTGTTCTTCAAACGGCGTGAGGTCATCGTCCAGCGCGTCTTCTGGGATGTCGACCACAGCCGGACTCTGGCCAGCAACCGCTGGTTGAAGCTCCGAGGCTCCATGGGAGCCATAGTAGAACGATTTGAAGTAGTCGTGCCCACCAATCTGGGACGCTTCGGTGGTTTCTTTTTGTGGTCCTGGGCTGTGTTCAATCGAAAGAATGGCATGTTAATATTTTTCTTTTCTTGTGGCCCATAAGGGTGCTATTCGTCTGGCGGCTCTAATGATCAATTTTATTGTTTCACATAACTTAGTCTTACACAGTGTAGTTAGGTCGTGGATCGAAACAGGACAATGGTTCCAGCATGCAGGTCAAGACACTTGTACTCGTTACATCTTCCTTCTTATCCATTTAAGTAGCTTTTATTTCTTCCACTCTTTAGGTGAAAATGGAGAGGGCGAGGGGTGGTGTCTATAGCTCCGCTTCTGAGCAAATATCATTTGTAACGATGGCAGAAAAAATATAACTTTTCTCCAGGAAGCGCTAACTTGGGTGAAATGTTGAGCACTCACTTTTGTCGCGTAGTTAGGCCTTTGTGCGCAAATGACGATTTTCTGACTTAGCGGTTCGAGCACGTGGTCAAAATTTTTACTTTAATCGAGACTGCGCTGACGCGGCCTGCGGCGGTTTTCGGAAGAGAAACATTTGAACTTATTGCTCGTACATTAATGGTCGAACACTACAGTTCATATTGCAATACACCAGAATCACGAAGCTTTATGACACAGAAAATACCATATGATACAGACCTGTTTGAAAACTTCCGAGGCAGTTGCTGAAGGAGGCACGGTGCTGAGCAGCGACTCGCGATCGGAAGCTGACACGACCGTCGCAGAGACCGCGTAGAACAACCCAACAGTACTCCTCGGATTGCCGAAACACTACTCATATTAGAAACTAGGATGTCCAACGCAAACGAAGCCCCAAAACAGCGCAATTAGTCGTAAGCACGGACAAAATCCCATCACCACGCTTTCGCGCACACCTCCATCATGGGCGCCGCCATCTTCACACCAACCGCATCGAGTCAGCCGGGGCTACTGAACAGGATCAATCGGAAGTTTCGTATCGAACGAACATGCGCCAGTCTGTTGCGCAATCGGTGCTAAATTTATGCCTCTTGCATCTCCAGTTTAGCCGCCCACGCTGTCGCGACAAAGTCGACTTGAATTTCGTCGCTTTCCAGCTCTAGTTAAACTTTCGCGACCTAATCTAGTCAGGTGTCCGATCTCGCGTGGATGCGAACATTTTAAAGTTGAAACATAATCGGCCTCATTTTCGAATCCGCGTCGTCGAGCTGGTCGAGCCAGTCGAGCTGTGCGCCTTGGCGTCATGGTGTGATCGGTTTCTGCTGATGTCTTCTATTGCGATGCAGCGATGCTGGTCCGACCGGTCAGGAGTTCGATCAATCCTAGGGTAGAAGAAGAGCCCTCCATCGATTAGTCGAGGTCTAGAAAAACAAAAGAACACAAGAACCGCCAAGCTGCCGCCCGCACCGAGTTGACGGTAGACCATTCTTCGCTAGGACATGTTCGTCAAAGAGGTCTCTACCTCAAGATCTAGTCAAAAGCCCGACCACTTCGGCAGCATCAACGAGCGTCCGGTGGACGACATCTCTCTCGATTTCTTCTACAAGCCGCACACGATCACGCTGTTGACCGTGTCCATCGTGGTGTTACTCTACTTTGCCTTCACGCGGTGAGTTCTTCGGGATCTCTCCAATGTCCGTGCGTGAATGGAGAAATCGCGTGCTCGCGAAATCTTTGGTTCCGGGGGGAGGACGATGTGTGCCTGATCGCGTGAATGAAACACGTGCTCGCGGCAAAAGATATGCGCGTTTTGACCGAACTGATATCCGCGAATTGTCGATTCGGGGGTGCGGAGGTAAGGAACGTATGAACATGAATATTGAGCTGTGTTATGAAAGGAGAGTGTAAAATTGCTCGCTTATGACTGTCGCAAGTTAACCGTGCTACAAACTTTTTTTTTTTTTTTGTGACTTGAGTAAAGGTCATTTGACTGATTTCATCACTTGTGCATATGATATCACACCGAAGTGCATGTCAAGTCGTTTTTATCGAGGCAAATTAATGCATTGATAGGACGTACAAGCACCACACATGCATCAAGGTTATGAAAAGGCAAATGTCCTTGAAAACGCTGCGCTTTCATACACGTCGGTCATTTGTCGCAAGCAGTGGCTTACATTACGTCAGCTTGGCTCAAATATTGACTTTCCTCAGATATCACTGAACTACACTCCGTCTCATTGTAACTTGGCAAATGGTGAAGGCTACGGTCGCAGTGTGCCAATCGGCGTGTCAGTGAGAGACCTGTGACTGCATACTGTATGCAACTAGTTGCCCGCAGTGCTGTTAAAGCCATGGGCACCAGGGAGAGGAAAGGCTGTTTTTGTGTGAATTTCAAGCGACGGCCTAATCTCCGGGGTAAACAAAAGCGGCGTCTGGGATGCACAAAAGAGGGTAAAAGGGAGTCCCTCCGTCTTCCCTTCTCCACTGTTTGGGTTATGCCTGCACCCCTGGATCTTTGGTAAGGGCTGTCACATGTCTCGCCTACGTCGCTCTGATTGGCTTGAGGCGCCCGTAGCATTCTTTGCCAAGTTACGGTGAGATGAAGTATAGTCCGAGCTAAAATGAGCAGAGTGGATAAGATTTACCTAGATATCATTGACCCATTTCGAAACGATGCATAGATTATGCACGGCCGCCATTAGTTGGTCATGCACTGTGTGCACGGATTGGACACAAGCGCTTCGTCGGCGTTCAGAGTACTCGGATCGAAACGCATTCCACACGAGTGCTGCATAATTGCGCGATGCAAAATCAGAACTAATCGCTGGCTTTATGCCGGAAGCGATGAGACCAACTAATGGCGGCTGCGCATAATCTATGCATCATTTCACAATTTCGCATAGGGTCTATTGGAACTCTATATATACGACCACTTCACTTGAAGGGCGCCTATGGAAAGCGCTGATGCCCGAGGCGGCCTAACTAGTTTTGCACTATCCTACTAGATGGCGCTGTAACTCAGCTGTTGAGTGAAACAAAATGGCTAAGTGGCGTAAGCTACCGCTCGATCGAAAGGGCCCAACCGGATTCATCCATCCATTCACCCATGAGTTAGCAGAGCTGGGTATGCGCCTGTGTTCCCGGCACGGTCACAAATTTTCGATAAGTGATTTCCTTTGGCCTCATTAGGAACACTAATTCACTGAATGGGGAGCGCTACTCTCAAAAAGTCCCTGAAAGATAAAAAAAGACAGCTTGTTTATAGATTCGCATTTAACTGCAGACTGGGAGAAGAATAGACACCATTCCGGTTTATGCTTTTTGTGAACTAATCACAGTCTGAACTTGATCTAAGAATACCTAATAAAAAAAAGGCATTGCAAGCATTTTAGTTCCTGCTTATGGTAGATGTTTTGTAGCTTGTTTTCATTGTAATGCATTCTATGAAAACTGATCATGCATTTTAAAGGCTTTTATTATTGCCTCATTTATTGGCTCCATCCTTTGGCCCCATCCTTTGGCCCAGCCACATTTGTCCTCCTTTTAGAGTGTTTCGCCGTGAGTTGCCTACACTCTCAGCAACTTTCGCAATGCTGTCTTGCTTTTCAGGTTCTTTTGCTTCTTTTCCGATACATTTCTTGTGTGGTTCACCAGGAAGGGCCTGATGAACTTAGTCATGATCAAGGTAGCAAGGGCCTTCCCGTGATCTTCCGAAATGTCACTGAAGGGGTGGACAGCTTCCGGAGAAAGCTGTACTGGACACCGATTCTTGAGGAGTGTGCTGACTGCAGCCCCCATTGCAGCCCCCATTGCAGCATATACAAAATAGGCAAGCTCGTCGAACAGTGCACTGACCTCGGCATAATGAACAACGTCTCGGCATAATGAACGATGTTGAAAAACAAAATTCCTGTATAGTCCGTACACATAGATAGCACAGCCTAAAATTTCAACTTCTAAATGTGTAAAGCCTACGGACTATAGCATGGAAAATACAATAATTGAAGCTCTGTCTCGTAGACATTTCCAAATAAGTAATGAGAACCTTAACAACAGCGGCCTGTATCCATCCGTCCTGAATCGTTGTGGTGGGAAATTTGTGAGAGCTAACTCCCACTGCTTTCCCTCGTTCTGACTTGCAGAATGGCACGCAGCAATACACCATCCGATCCTTCTCCTGGGACGTGCCTTACATACTTAAAACAAACAAATCAAGAAAATAACTTGCCAAACGGACAAATGCAGAAGAAAACGCGCCAAATGCCGAAACCACAATGCAAAACACATGTAGAGGGCACTGCTAGAGCATACATAAGCAGCTGAGGTGCAGCACCATCTCTCGGCAGGGCTGCAAAGCAGAACGCGGCCAAGGCATGCGCTGGGGCGCTCGCGAGTGAAGTGGTCGTATGTATATAGTTGGTCCTGGTTTTGACTGGCCTTGTCGGTTCTGTGGCTCGCTGCCCCTTCAAGTGACTGAATTTTGCTGGTGGTTTTCTTCCCATAGCGACGATGCTCAGCTAGAACAAAACATATGGAGTGGCATCTGCTGCGTCGCCTTTTTCTTCCTCATCATCAGCGTCCTTGCATTTCCAAATGGTGAGCGATTCACACTTTTTGCGCAACACGAACGATAAAGGAGAAGGCGGACGTTAAATCCTCGGTCGCTTTTGCAGGACCCTTCACACGGCCTCACCCGGCAGTCTGGAGGATAGTCTTTGGTGAGCGCACAGACATTTTGTCACTGCAAACACATCTTAGGTATTTCTCCTACAAATATTACTTAAAGGGACACTGACAGGGTATTTTTGCTCGCCAAGATTTTTATCTGTGCACGACATACGAGAGCCCAACTACCCAGAAAACAACTTGCAGCTCGAAATTCGTTTTCTTTCTGCTCAAAAACTGCCGATCGACAACTGGCCAGTTTGAGTCGCGCTCAAAATTCTCCGTGGTCATGTGCCGTTTTCTATGGTTTAGACACAACCACCTAATATAATCGAAGTCAAAGGTCGTCGAAGGTACACACTCAATACTAAAGGTAGAAAAAAAATATGATACCTATTTCTTGCGTCTAAAAAACAGCAAATACGTCGGCTGAAAAAAAAAAAAAAAAGTTGCGCAGTTACGTGATTTTTGGCAACTCTCTCCTCCTCTATATTTCTTCTTCCTCCCCAGCCTAGTCTCAGTTTCGAGCAGTTGCGTTTATTGACTTTATTAAAAATAGACATGACGCTGTAGTAAAATATTGATTGGGTGGTCTTTTAAAACAATAATAAATCGCCCGACAAAAAAAAAAAAAATTGGGGGGGTTGTCAATGTTCCTTTAATTATATATATATATAAAAAAAAAATGAACACTGTTAAGTGGGGTGATCTTAAGGCTGGTTCAGGCATTTGCGTTTGAGTTTGACAGACTGTGTTAAACATTCTGCATTCCTCTACAACACATTGTGTGGACCTTGGTTGAGATAGAAACTATCTCGTCGCAAGCAGTTGTAAGCGGTCGTAACATCGTCAGCAGTGATGGAAGCAGCATTGGACCTTTTCTTGCAGGTTCTGTAGCGGGCGAAGTAGTGTTTTGGAGCAGGTACCATCTGGTTTGCACATCGCTTGAAACTGAAAAAGTGATGGCATCCCTACACGAGTTCATTCATGATCGTGATTAGGGGTTCCTCTTTGATACTGGAACATATTACTTATTATCTTTTGTAGTAAAATAGATAGGATGCAAAAAAAAAAAAGACACATACATACACAACCTTATTTTTAGATATAAGGCTTAGGTCAGAGTAAATTCAATTTTCAATGGTTACTTTAAAAAAAATTGTTGAAAAGTGAATTATAGTGCAGCACTTCATTGGGGGATAAAGCATCTCTCCCCTTCCCATTTTACACTAGGCAGTTTATTTAGCCCATGAATATAATCTCAGCAAGAACCAGCATACCCGCTAATGCGTCCCCTAAGTTCAATGAACCTACCAAACTCGGGGACTCTAATGTCATAAACTGCGAAGACAACCATCCAGAAATATTGTGAAAGCTCACACTTGTGCTTTAAAGGTGACACTACTCTTTAGTGGCATTGAAAGCAGAGGTAAGTCATAGTTTGCTACTCTTTCGATCGACAGCTTCACGGGAACTACCGTGACTACCCCATTTACTCAAATATAGACCCGTGTTTTCTTCTCTCTTTCTCAGCTCAGTTTTTCTTTTTTGTAATTTAGAGGTTAACCTACAGTCAGGACAAAGAAGGTCGACCTGTAAGTATCCTGAGGATGATTCACGTGCCTATTGCACTAACCCAGGCACTCCACCAGGTCAGCCGCTGCTCCTAGCTTTCCGGTGTAAAGCAGTGAAGCTCGATGTGTGCACGCTGATGAGAGGTGGTGAAGGCTGATGAGAGCAGCATAAGTACCAAGGTACACTGCGCCCACGGCATGAATACATGTGGCAGACACAATAATCAAGTGATCTCATGAGGCGTAAAGACCTCGGTTCTTTCTTATCACAGTAGCCGCAATCCTACCACTTTGCAAAGTTTTCTCGCAAAGTTTAGTTCTTGACATCGCCGACATCCTCTGGAAACTTAGACGATGTGTAAATTTAGACGAGGTTGATTCCCAGAATCAAAGTGCAACGTCACAGCAGTCGTCATGTTCTAGTGCATCTTCTTTCAATGGCTAAACCAATCAAGTACGGCAAATGTCCCGTGACTTGCGCTTTTAGGATGTGTGTTTTTGGTTGTGTGTGTTTGAGCCTTCGACTGCATTCTGACCTAAGATGAAACAAACAACACGGTGAGTAGAGACGCCGTGAAATACATATTTGTACCATTTTTTTTTCCTTCTACTTCTCTGAATACTAAGATCGGCCAATAATAAAATTAATTTCTTTTTTGCTTTATGCCTGTTTCGGCGCAGGCGTGGTGCAATTCTTAGCAAAAACGGCATTTTCGCTCAAGGTGTGGCAGACTTCAGTTCATGGCGCAAATGGGCACAAATGGCGCACCACTTCCATCACTGCAGTCTGTGTGGGGTGGTTCACGTAGTTGTGACTTAGACTGGAGTGGCTTAAAAACTGGTTGTAAGACCCTTATGACTACTCACGACCAGCTGTGCTGCTGTGCAGCCAGCTTTAAGCGGTCGCAGAAGGCTCGAAAAGCAGTTGTGGTGCACTAAATCGTAGCCAAACACGTGTGTGTGAGCCATTCTTAACAGATCTCGAACACAAATGTTTGAACCAGCTTTAAGGCTTCCAAGCAAATAACCTACATCAAATCTTGTTTAAGTTCTTTTGCTGTTGTTTTTGAAGGAAAACAAATATTGAATTATTAATTTTTAGGTGTTAATACATATTTTATTTTCCAGGTTTGAGCGTCCTGTACCTCATGGGACTGCTGTTCTTGCTCTTCCAAAATTATGCCAACATCAAGTCAATAATGTACTGGTTCTATCCAGAACTTCGCAACTTCTCCATAGACTCTGAGAAGGTGAGGATTGACTGTAGTCACGCGCATATGCACATCTAACTTTAATTGTAGGCATAGTTTCATAGTTTGAGATAATGTAGGCTCTGTTCAGATAAGATCATACAATCGAGTCCAATCATATTTTTCGTCTTTGGTAATTTTGTTATGTTACTCCCCAACATGTGTAGAGAATGTAATGAAAAAAGAGTTTGCAAAAAAACATACCATTTAAAGAGAACAAAACTTTTTAGTGCACTAGAACGGCACATATGACTTTCGAAGTTTTCGTTTATGTCATGTTTGGTGACACCTAACATGCAAACTAAAATTATCAGAAATCTTGTATATCTTGCACTTAATATAGATTATGGGGACTATTGAGTGATATATGTACAGCATTGTGGAGGTCATATATTTTGCGTCAAAAATGTGCAAACTTGGCTCCTTTGACGTTTTGGTCGAAGGAGCCATGTGTGCACATTTTTGATGGTTGCACATGCGACAAAGTGTTTTCAAAGGCAGAAAGCTTGTGCTCGAGGTGGATTCTTTATTGGGTTCGTACAGTTTCGAGTTTTCAAGCTTCATTTTTTTTTCCTCACGAAATCTGCGTTTTTCGGTGTCGCTTTCTGGCGTCGTACAAAAGATTGGCATCTTTTGTGGCTTTCATTGCAGAAAATGGTACGCGGCTTCGGAGTTTTCCGACCTCCAGGGAATTTGTGCACGACCCAAACACTCTGGAAAACCGCCTGGTGCTAGGAAGGGAAAACGTGAAACCCTAAGTATGGCGCCTGAAACGCGTCCCTGACTGGTGTGTTTGGCGTCATATTCTGCCCACGTGTCTGAAGCGGTCCCAAAGTGGCAACAGACGACGTCGCAAAAGCCGGAGTGTCACGCCGTCGAATGCCGCGATCTCGGTGGTTCGCCGTAGGAGTTTCGGCAAGGAGCACGAGCAGACGCGAGTGTTGCCGTTGTCGTGGCTTCCCGACTCCCGGAGCTTCCGTGTACTGTCAAGCCGGAGAGAGCAAACTGCAACAGAGCGGGCGTCTGGTTGTCCGCCACCGCTGCCACGACGCCGCCAGGACTGCGGCCAGTGACAGCGTGACACTTCCGCGATGTCGTCAAAAGGAAATCGAGGGACCACTTTTGAGGACGCGGTAAACGCACCTGTAAGAGACGCGCTCCAGGCACCATACCAGTGAACCCTGTTTGTGCGGTCGAGCGCTCGGAACTAATTTGGATTGGGTGGTTGCCCAGGAGTATGCGGTCAACTGCTCTGACGTGAGCCTGGAGCGGCTATGGAGCCACGTGGATGTGTTCGCGTTTGGCCACTTCTTTGGCTGGGCCATGAAGGCCATGCTGGTCCGGCACTACGGGATCTGCTGGACTATCAGCGTCACCTGGGAGATTACCGAGGTGAGCCAATGGCCCGACGCGACAGCGAAGACCTCCCGAATTGAATGCATTCGGAGGTGGATCAAAAGTGTTTTGCCTGGTAGTGGGCTTCAACAGCTGTACGGGCACATGAAACTTACCTACGTTTTCATGGGACTACATCATTCTACTTGGATCGTGGTGTCTTGGCACACATGTATGAATCTAGGAAACAGTTTTGCACGAAATTAAACCTAAGGACCTAGTGTTCCTGGAACATTTACTGTTTGTTTAGCCATAGGGTACCTATTTCTTTTTCTCTTATATGTTCCAAAGAAAAAAGCACTATTTATAGCCTCCCCAATCATGCTCGACTTTTTCATATACATAGTCTTGTATGGAAATGTTCTTGTGCGAGACAAATGTTTGGAACCACATGGAATTCTGGAAAATGTGACATTGAAGCTGTGTTTTAGCTTGTTACAATGCTGCCATTAGTCCTTGATGTGCTACAATCAGCAATCAACCAGAATGACTGGTAAACGCATGTTAAAGTTGGCTGCCATTAGTCCTCAAAGACGCAGCCAGCTCATCGCCTCCAGCAAATGAAATGTACTGTTGTGAAATTGTCAGTAGCACTGTTGCACGGGCTTACCAGAGAAATAATCGAGGCAGAAACAATTGCACGGTTACAACATACATATGTCAGCACTTCCCTTCTTTGTAATTACCCAAAAGGGAATCAAACTATTTAGTAGCGAGAGGGTCAAAGTGACAAGCGTGATGATTTCACGGGGGGTGTTCTTTTCCGTGGTAACATACTGTACCCATTTCTCGCAAAGAAGTAGAAGACCATTGCGAGTCAGCGCCTTCCGTTTGTTTCTGTTGCGCGTCTCCCTGTTGTGTGCGCTCGTCCTTTTGTGCAGTTGCTTCCTGCTACTTCCAGCAGTGCTTGTCGTGATCACCTCCAGGTGGCGTTTGCACACCTGCTGCCCAACTTCAAGGAGTGCTGGTGGGATGCCCTCATCCTGGACGTGCTTCTCTGCAATGGCTTCGGCATCTTCTTCGGAATGCTCATCTGCAACAAGCTGGAGATGCGCTCTTACAAATGGGAGAGCATCAAGTGAGCCCAAGCTCGTGGTTATGTGCATTATTAAAAGCAAGCAGACAAATTGGCTGTCCTCTCGTATCATCCACTACATCGGATGGCAGCGTGTAACATTCCTTAGAGAGATGCTTTAATGATGATGGCTACACTTATTACAGTGGTACCAACCCCAGGCCTTACTGGTGACTTAGACAAAAGTCTTTCCAACTTTCCAATGTAGCTTGAAAAAAATTTCTTGTTATCACTATTTGTTATTTCTGCCTTGAAAACTTCTTTGGTACTCAAAACAAGCCCTTTTACAGCTTTGTTTGGCAATTTATCTCCCCCCCCCCCCCCCCCCCCAAAAAAAAAAAAAAATATATATATACATATATTTTTTTTTCCTTTTGCAGCATTGTATTTTGGCTACAAGCTGCAGGGAAAATTTGATGCAGTCAGGAATGAGCAGAGTCTTATATTTTCATAGTGTCATTGGCACAAAGCTGTGACAGCGTCGAGTAATTGGAGCACAAAGCTGGGACCTTGCTTTTACAAGAGCACCAAGCTGAGCTGTAGTTTCTTTTACTACAGTACAGTGTATGTCTCCTGGTAACCAAAGCATGAGGCTCCAAAACAAGGATGGACATTTCAACGGAGTCGCTAATGTTGAGTGTTAATGTTCCAAACTTGGCTCCAACTGGACCACCGGTTTGTGGTAATCATTGTACGAAAGCCAAAATGTAAGCAGAGAAATAATTTTCGGAGGGCAAAAAAAAAAAACTTTGAATGACAGCATACTAATTGGTTGCAGGCATGTTTGATCTAGATCGCCAAAGGCAAAAGGATGAACTATCATTGGCTGGTTAGTCAATGAATGGGGAGTAGGAAAGAACTTAGGTTTCAGTGCTGGAGATAACATACCATGCTTTCTTCCAGGGACATTCAGACCACGACTGGAAAGATACGAAGGGCTGCACTCCAGTTTACTCCCGCAAGGTGGGCCTCGTATTCCTCCTTTCACTGACCCATGGATGTATTCAGACGCCCTTCGCAGCTACACATTTTATAAAAACAGAGTCAGACTTGTTTCTGTTGCCAAAGCAAATGTATGTGTCTCTTAACCCTTTTATGTGCATATTTTGAATCTTGATTCACAACTACGACACGGTAGCTACTTCGGTGGTCTGATTGTACGTCGGGGTAACCCCAAAGAGCCACGTTAACGATACGGCGATGCTTCTTTTTTCGGGACGACGCAGTTGGACCCACGTGCGGTGGATGGACCCCAATTGTACGTACATGCGTCTCTTGGCCGTCACGGAGCTGGTCATCTTTTGGCAGGTAACCGTTTGGGGCCGGCCTGGCCTCGGCTCGTCGCCGCCCAGGTCGTCTTGCTCAACGTGTTTCCACGTACGTGTCTGCAGGTGACGGAACTCAACACCTTCTTCCTGAAGCACATCTTCGAGGTGCCCCCTGACCATCCTCTCAGTGTGGCCAGACTGATGCTCATCGGCATCATTGTGGCACCTACGCTAAGGTAGGTATTGTCCGTCTGTACGTGTGGACCAGAGTGGTGTGTACCTGGGTTCAAGTAGAGCAGACCATGCATGCTGCCTGTTTCACTGACAGAATGGGAACGGCAGGGAGGTTCTTTAGTTGTCCCGCCTACGGCGTGAGCTTCCTGCCTTTGATAATGCTTTCGCATCACGTCCTCTCCTTTTTGTTCTGTCGGTGGCTACAGTCGAGCCCGATTAGGTCAAACCCAAGTATTTCTAAATGTTGTCCTTTTCGAACGTTCAAAAGGTTCCCCTTGAAAATCTCGCATAAAAGTAGAGGCGCCTTCTGTCTGCGTCGAACTTCACCACCCTGTACAACAGATACATCGAACCACACGTTCGGGGAAAGCCTCCCTGATACGGAGGCTTTCCCCGAACGTGGTCGTCGCGGCGCAATTTGTTCGCTTGCACCGAGGATGGAAGACTCTGGCCACGGGCGGAAAACGCTGCAAAGAGGCAGAAAACAACTTTCTGCCAAAAAGTTTTTTGGTTAGTTGAGTCTGTTGACGACGATTGTGCAGTTGCGCTTTGAACGCCTTGTTTATATCCCTTTGCTCCCCTTTTTTTTTTTTCTTTTGATGTTTTTGCTTTTTTGTTTTGTTGTCTGACTTTACGCCAGTTTAATTTTTTTGTTGTTGCTTGCTTGGTCTTTTTTTTATAGATAAAAGCTTTTTATAGGCATCCCAACTTTTAAGTTTTCTTTAATTTTTTAAAATTCTTTTTGTGCTTGGTCGCGGCTACGTGCCCGCGAGCAGCAGCGCTTGCAGTTTTTGCCAACTACGCTCTAGCAAGGTACTGCTGTATTTAGCGATCCTTGAATGCTCTACTTGGCAAGCTCCCATTCGTCACGATCTTTGGTCTTAGCAGAGACGCACAGAAAATTCAAGGAGAGCTTAAGTTACCATAGTTTTGTTTATCGAATTATTAATATATCAAACTGTTTTACAATCTTTTCTTTTTAATTCAATGTATCCGGTTCCGACTATATTGTTAATTTCAACCGAGAATGACGGCTAAGCAAGTGTGTCACAGTTGCAGAAAGACCTAATTGTATGGGGCACAGTACCCATACTATTAGTATGGGAACAGTGTAAGAAAGTTGTTTTTGTGGGTCGTTTTGACCAGCAGCACACAGAAATGGTTCCGCTCTATAACCAAACTTTTGCAAGCATCACGCCTTCTTCCCCCCCAAAAATCCGTTCATTATCGTGACATGTTTATTTTGTGATTCCTTTTGGCAAAAGGCCCAAGTGGAGGCGTCAAACTTGCAATACTTTAAATTGATTTAGATTTCCGATTTCTGATGGCAGCTCTGAATTGCAAAGAGCCGATAAATTCAGTGCCCAACTACGTTACCATGAATGTTTCAACAAGACTATTTGTCGTCATTGTCCCCTTTTTGTATTTTTGTGTTTTGCTTTCAGTTTCTTAATACTATGTAGCAATTCTTTGTGTATGACAGGTATTTTTGTGTGACACAAGTACACAAAGATTGGACATCAAATAGTGTTTTGTCTGATGTCCAATATCTGTGTACCTGACACACTACGCTTCGGAAATGCGAATGACCTGCTTTGAACCGAGTTTTGTGGCTCTGCCCTTTTTCAGGCAATACTACAGCTACGTAACAGACACGCGATGCAGACGAGTTGGAACCCAGTGTTGGGTGTTTGGGTGAGTAAAGGGGGCTCTCTTTCATGTTCGCATAGAAGATATATGTTCATAGATTAATGAGGAATTATTTTCGACATTCTCTTTGCAGGTTTTAGGGACTTCATATATCTCTGTCAGTCTTAAAGGGGTACTGAACCGAAATTTCGAGCTCTCAAAATAAAGCTCGACTGATAGGTGGGACGCTGCAAAACCCCAAAACATTACTCATACAGCGATATCTTTAACGGATTGCCGTATTTTTGGAAACAAAAATGCGCAATGGAACACAGCTGACGAGACCGACGAGACTAGTCGCTTCACGATTCTACATTTCCTCTCCTCCTCGCTATGTCCCGTCGAGTTGGTGAACCAAAGCGAAGAGGAGAGAAGCGAGGCCGTTTCCCCACATTCTCAAACTCTCCAGGAGGACAATGATGTCATAGACCTCGCTTTATCGTGCCCTTCTTTTCCAAAAGTATGGCCACCCGTTTGAGATATCGATGTATGAGTGATGTCTTGGAGTTCGGAGCCTCCCATTCAACACTTCTGCGGCCTTATTTTGTGAAATCCAAATTTCGGTTCAGTGTCCCTTTAAAGAGACACTGACACCACCAAAAATTTATTTTTTATTTTTAGTTAGGCGATTCATTATGGCCGTCAGGAGACCACCCAATCAATATTTCGCTGCAGCGTCACATAAATTTTTAATGAAGTAAAAAAATACAACTGCTCGAAACCAGGACCGAGACTGGACTGGGGAGGAAGAAGAAATATAAAGGAGGAGGGTGTTGCCGGGAGTCACGTGGCTGTGCAACTTTTGTTTCTTCAGTCAACGTATTTGCAGATCTTTTAGAAGCCACAAAAAATGGGTATCGTATTGGTGGTGTTACTAGCGGATGCGACTGCCTCGAGTTACCGATCGAGTTACCGATCGGACGCGGCCACATCAAGTCTAGGGTGTTTTGTGAGCCCGCGGCTGGAGACGCTGCTGATTCAGAGGCGCCGCTGAGTCACATGCACTGCTGGGTCAGGGGCACCCCTGAGTCAGATGCACCGCTGAGTCAGAGGCGCCGCTGAATCAGATGCACCGCTGAGTCAGAGGTGCTGCTGAGTCAGATGCACCCCTGAGTCAGATGCACTGCTGAGTCAGATGCACTGCTGAGTCAGAGGCACCGCTGAGTCAGGTGCACCGCTGAGTCAGGTGCACCGCTGAGTCAGAAGTGCCGCTGAGTCAGATGCACCGCTGAGTTAGAAGCGCCGCTGAGTCAGATGCACCGCTGAATCAGAGGCGCCGCTGAGTCAGATGCACCGCTGAGTCAGAGTCCAAGGCCTTGTTGGATCCACTAAGGATGCTGGCTGCCTACTGGCTAGCTGCATGCGCAGCATTATACTTCACAACTGCAGTGATGTGATTGCTGCGCCATTTGTGCGAACAGGCTTATCCTGCTACATTCTGCTCCATTTAGCCCAAATGTGAGGAACTTGCACCAACATTGCAGCAGAACTTGATTTCACTTTACTTATACTGAAAATATAATGGCTGAAGCCCTGCTACACGTCTGGATAGTTATTGTAGGCTTGTGCGAATTTTTAGAAATTTCGATTTTAGCCGCAAATATTGTACTATCCTATTTGATTTCTCTGTCAGTATCAAACATTGACAGAACTTAGAATTTTCACCATATGTCTTATGTTCCTAGTCTGCTCTGGTATGCAAAGTTAGCTTTGCCTAGTGTGCTTCTCACCGCGCTCTTGTGTACTGCAGTGACGCGGCAACTACGAAGTAAGCATTGTAATTGTGTTTAACATTACTTCGCCACAGTTCATCCAAGTGCTAAAGGGAAAGCATTCCCCCAGAGCGGTATGTTAAACACGGAAGTGTAAGGTACATTAAAAAAAGAACTTCGTGGTTGTTCATGTAACGGCTCTTAGTTGCAGTAAAAATTTCTGGATTAAACCGCGGCTATTATTTATGATGGGCTGCGGTATTCTGGCGATATCTTTTTCAAATTCAGGATTTAGCGAGGGCACTCACAAAAAAATTTATATGAACTGTTCTATGGGTTTATTTTTATCTGAACTCTGTTGTTTAGTTGTCACCTTTATATGTATATGTTTTATCCCTTTGAAGTACAGTCAATAGAATAAATTAAAACTAAATTAGGTGAAGCAGTAGAAGGAAGCTTGGGAATAACCTTAAAGGGACAATGCAACAATTTTTTTACTTTCAATAAATACAGCTTAGAATTATTTCTTGACATTTATAACCTTATTAAAATATGTTGCTTTTTTTTTTCTTTACGCAATGGCAGTCACAGAAAAAAATTGGAGAAAAATAACACTGTTTACCCACTCAACTCGCTGCCAGAAAAAGTGGCCACGTGATCTGGAACCGATTATATGGTGCCAATTTTTTTAACGGAGCCATGCGCTAGGGTTGGCAGACCACAGGACGCGCGCCGAGTTCCACGCATTGTTAAGGTTCAGCTACCCGAAGGTATGTCGAGGCATTGAGCAAGGTGTCTAGCGACCGGGAAAACCGGGAATTGTCAGGGAAATTTTAATTACTGGGAAAAATTAGGGAATCGTCAGGGATATTGTCAAAAAGCGAGCCCAGTCAGAGAAAATGGGCCGGAAACGTCATTGAGTGCCCTGAGCAAAGACATGAGGATTTTGGGGCAGAAAAATAGGAAATAAGTTCTGCTCAGAGCGGAGCGCAGGCTCTGCTCACCTGATCTACCGGATGCTACAACGATGCAAAGGAAACAGCCGACAAATCCAGTCCAAGCCTTAGATTGGATTGGATTGTGGGCGCGACACAAATGGAAAAGCCGCAGACCCCAATCCAAGCCTTAAGCCGAAAGTATCAGAAAGTGTGCATCTGTCGGATACGCGGCCAACACGGCCATGCTGCCATTTGGTTACTGACGTGTGTGGTTGAGCGTCGTGTTTTCATTGTGTTTCCGGAAGTGGCCTCTTCATTGACGACGTTGGCGGCAGAAAAGTGCTTGCTTAATCCGGAATGGACGAGCCCAAATATTTCGGAATATGCAAGTTGGATTAAGCCCGTGAAAAATTAAATCACAGTGCTCAATGCCCTATGTTGTAATGGTCTTGTATATTTATCCGCCTCTACAGTGGTCAGAGAATTTCACCTGAAATTGTCGGGGAAAACCTGGAAAAGTCGGGGAATTCCAAAATAATACTTTGCTAGACACCCTGTTTATTGTCACGAGCCAAAATCGAATGCCTACGAAGTCTTCCCACTAGTGCCAGTAAGCTGGTGTAAAGAGGCCGTGCAACTTTGTTGCACGGCCTTTTTAACTACTTTGGCTTGATTGCGTTAAGAAGGCTTACTTATCGTTCACATGCCGATCCCTGTTATTATGAGGTTGTACATAAAGCGTTGTTGATTTTCATAATTTATTGACAAAAGCATTTTTGTTTTGTTTTTTATTTTAATTAAAAAATTCTGTTTTTTAGAACTTGAATGAAACATCAATTTGTGTGTTCAAAATTATTCTAACATTATTTTAGTGGAATATACTATTTGGTTTGCATTTTATTTGGTACCTAAAATGACCGTTCACAGCAGTTCATACTGCCCTTCATCAATCAGCATCTTAAGAGCCTTGAGCAGATAACAGTTTGATCATCTGCGTCCGCAGACTTTGTATTCGCATCCGCAGACTTTGTATCCACATCTGAACCGCACCCGCAAAATTCAGAACCGCATCCGACTCTCAACCTGCGCATTCATTTTACATCATAAAATCAAGCATATTAAAAAAAAAAATAATAAACACCTAGATGGTGTCCTATAAGCCGCCTGCTTACAAAGCAATGAAGAGTTCTACAAAAAAACTCTGTGTAAGAATACGGTGAAAGTCATTTGATCGTAGTTATAAAATAAGCGATCATCCTTCCAGAGACACTTCGCATTGCTCGTAAGATGATCGCAATTATTAGATGGTCTCGGGATTCCGTGGTACCGACACTCTGTCCAGTATATGCGCTCAAAAGGAAAGAAATTTATATTTATTTTCCTTGTTGCTTTGTAAAACCCACTTCAAGCAGACACATAAGGGCAGACTAATAACATTGTATCATTTTATTTAGGCCAAACAATAAAAAAAGAGAGAGAAAAGGCGCTCACTCGTAGCAGCAAAATACTTGTGTATATGTGGTAAGGTGTGAGTACACCACTGGAAGAATATCACAATATTCAGTAATGGCAACACCTCCTATCAGTTATAGTTTTCAACACAAACCCTCAACTGCAGGCTTGGAACCATATACTACTTAAAAACAAATCAGTGCCAACTCTTGAGAAAAAGAGAATGCACACACATGCAACGTTTCACTTGTCGAGGGTAGAAGAAACAGGATATTTTCAACTCTGACGGATTCAGACTGGTTCGCATCTCAAATGAATACCCGTTCATGAGAAGTCCCTTTCCGTTGGTGCACTTGATGCTTGCTTGGTATGCACAAATTGCACTAAAAAATGAGGTCTGGAGTTCCTGTTGGTGCAAGTTCTATCACTCCAGAGGATCGAATTCAGTCTCCTCAGTATATACTTGTAAGCGAAGAAGCCACTTGCAGGCTTGTATATTTTAGGTTTTCTTCGTCCAGACAATGTTTTCCGCTCTTTCCCTGCCAAACAAAAACACGCTATCCAGGGACGACTGATAGTTCAGCGTTATTTACTTTTTATATGGACAGTATTTTTGCAAGATAGTACGTTTAAAGTGATATTTAGTGAGAATCAAATCCTTTGTTGACATAAAGAACAATTTTCTCCCGATTGGTACCTTTTATCTAAGAGAGTAATTTTCCGCTGCAATACATTCGATGATGCACTTCATAGTATCACTGAGTTATTCACTCTACACTGTACGGTCGCGCACGTTTATGGGCTGCCTCGGCAAAAACGGATCCGGACCGACGGATATCCGCATTTGATCCGCATCCGCAGCCCCTGGCATCCGCATTCCATCCACAATCCGCCAAATCTGATTCATTTTTGTCCGAATCGACCAGTTTACTGTGGATATCCGCGGATTTGCAGGGCTCTAAGCATCTTGTTGCCACGCTTAGTGCTTCTATGTGCAACTGAACAGCTAGTTCTGTGTTAGAAGAAAGCATGCTCATTTTTGGTTGGATAGGCCAACATACAAATCTTAACATATCATAATTACGGTGGTATGAATAAAAATGAAGTGTGTGCGTGTGCTCCAAAAGTACTTTTTGCTGCGCCATAATAGACTTTTGGCTGCTCCAAGGTATGCTGCAAGATGGCTCGGGTCGATTGCATCACTGCTACTGCGCACAAGTCACTTTTTGTTTTCATTGTCTCTTTCTGTTGGATAGTTTGGTGGGTGCTCCTAAACTAATATCACAACTTGTGCAGCAAGGTAGTAGAAGGCAGCTTGATTAATTACTACTGTCTTTTTTTTTTCTTCTACAGTGCCATCATGCTGACAGAGGCAATCATCTGCATCAAATTCGGTCTGGAACTCTTTGCCCAAACCCAGATAAAGAACATCCTTGTGTGGCTTCTTGTGCAGGTAAACACAGAACAAAACAAAAACCCCCAAAGGTCTCCTTTTGGTATGGTTGTTACTCGGATATGTTTTGCTGTGCCCTGTGATCACTACAAGTCCTGTTATTTTAATCACATATTATTTCCTCTTTCCCTTAGTAAATTGCATCATCAAGAGTTTGTTGCCTAAGCCATTAACTTTTATTAACAAGTAGTTTTTTTTTTTTTAGAACTCTAGGTTTAAAGGTGTGTTCAGGGGGCACCACAATTAGCTGCTAGTGTGAATGAGAGACAAATCTGGGTAGTCAAAGGTTGTACCAAAGCTCATGGGCACAAGTGGGACTGTAACTTTCCAAGGAGTTCACAATAGATGGTGCTGCTTATTCCACTGAACTGGCTAGGTAGCGTAAGCCGCCACCCAATTCAAAGGCCTTCAGCCATATTCGTCCATCCATTCAACTTTACTGCACGGCCCCTACTACTTTGATAGTGTAACAGTTCACAGCACAAATTATACAGTGCAATCCACATATAACAATACCACATACAGTCGAGCTCGGTTATATCACACTCGGGTATTTCAAATTATTGTAGAGAGAGCAGGGAATGACCGCTATTGGAACAGTAGTCTGCACCCTTTCCCCAAAGACTGATGATGCTGCATGACTCCCTCACCCAAAAATAAAATGAGCAAAAAAAAAAAGTCTTCGGCAAGTTGAGTGTGCTGTGGACAACAACGGTTGTAAGGCTTTATCTTTGTTTGCCTTTTTCTTTTGCCGCTATTGCTTGGCCCGTTTATAGAGTGCAGCTCTTAGGCGCTCGTTTGCGGCTTGAGCGGCGTGGTTGTCACCGCGCGGTGCATTATGGGTAAATTCCCCCGCTAAATTTGGTGAAAAACTTTCCTCGCTAAATTTAGCAAAAAATTTTCCCCACTAAATTTAGTGGAAAAATTTCCCTGCTAAATTTAGTGAAAAAATGTTCCGCTAAGTTTAGCGGAAAAAGTTCCCCGCTAAATTTAGCAGAAAAAATTCCCCGCTAAATTTAGCGGAAAATGTTCCCTTAAATGGGAGGAAAGGAAGAGGGGCGTAGCCTCCTCTTCGTGCCTTCCCATCCTCCTCCTCAAGAGCTGCACTCTAATTCGGTGTTACGGGGGATTGTAAACGTCTCATTTTTTCATCTTTTTTTTTTCTTGCTGTCTGAATTTTGTGAGTTCTCTTCTTTGTTGCTTGCTTAACTTTTTTCTGTGGATCAAGAGATTTTTTTTATGTGTCTCACTTTTCTGTTTTTCTTTCTTTAATTTTTTTTTTGTGTTTTGTCGCTTATGCCAGCCAGGCCAGGTGTGGCCAAGTGCACATGTAAGCGCGGCTGTGTTTGCGGTCTCTGCCAAATACGCTTACTGTATTTAGCGGCTCTTGGATGCTCTATTTGGTAAGCTCCCGTTTGTCGCGACCTTCGGTATGAGCAGAGACGCCAGAAAAGTTCAACTCGAGCGTAATTTAGCATATTTTTGTATATCAAACTATTGATATATCAAACTATTTTATGATCCCCTTTCAATTTGATATATCTGGGTTCGACTATATAATGATGCACTGCTTATAACGATCTGTTTCTAAAGTTTCTAGATTAGAAACAATATGTTTCTAGTCCAGATACAACAATAATCGGTTGCAATGATTGAATGTTCAGGTTTTTCATTATTGTTATAAGTGGATATGCAATATGCAATTGGCGACTCCAGCGAAATCAGTGCCAGGTAGCGGCCATGCCGAAAACCCTCGAGAGAAGGGTGTTTCGCCTCTATCGTCTGCTTTCGCTGCTTGGTTCTCGTAGCCAGCATAGCTTTGCGCACTTGCTTATTTAAGATCAACTGAATAATTGCTGTTCATTGGTGAAGCAACAGAATAAGGGATGATCAATGACATGAAAACATGTTAGTGCTGTGCAGTTTCCCTCACCTGCGAGTTAAAAAGCAATGCCATTATGCAAAAGACGTTCTTGTGCGAAACTTGTAGTGAGGCTCACAAACTGGAGTAGATTTATAAAATAAAAATTGCAACACAAGTCACCTTGGCAAAAGAAAAACATAAATATATCCTTAGAAACCGTTTGTCTCTGTTTCTTTTTATTTGTTAATCTAAAAGAATTTCAGAACTCTAGCAAAAGAAACATCAGCCAATTCGGACGCCATAACACACGGTGTCAAATTAGATTACGATGGCGTGTTGATGGGCTCACAAACCCATTCTTACGCCTCCCATATACTAATTTATGCAGAGACCTAACTTCTGCCAATCGCCAAAAACTAAAAAAAGTTTGGTCATGCTTACAGTCGGGCAAAATATTGATACTATGCGGCAACATTGATGTTTCGTTAAGCATCAATTGAAATTTACTCAATCACACATCTAGAGGAATTCCGTGCGGCCTCCCCACCGATAATAGGTCGTAATTCAGAATGGACGCCTACTTGAAGAACATTATTCCATACCTTCGCCAACATTTTTTGCTGAAGTGTAGTCAGGTCGTGTTTTGCCTTTCCCCACTTTGAGACTTCTCACCATAACTGCTAGAATCACGCTTTCACTTGCTAACGCAAAAGAATGTTCCCTGTAGACACAACCAGAGCACAGCGGCCTGATCACAACCAGCCGCAACGTTTTGATCTGTACTTCGCTATAAGATTTTACCAACCTATTGAAGTCATTTATCATTTTCTTCAAACACAGGCCTGAGGGCAACATTCAAATTGCATGAGACAAAGCCAACGCAAACTCTTATCCTCACTTTGACAGCCTTCTGGGGGGGCGGTACTAAACCGTTTTACAATAGGTTGTTACCTTTCAAAGAGGCTTGGGGATTTTTTATATCGTCCACCTCGCAAAGGTTAGTCCTCCGAAATTAAACCAAAAGTCTAGCTTCAGCTAGATGCTCAAATCGAGCTGGCAAAAGAAAAAAAACATTGTTTTAGTAATCAATTTGTGCTTACTCCGTGCAACTTTTAACTGCAAGGAGGTTTTTTACCGTCCAAAAAGCTCTTAGATTTCATATGTAGCCTCAATTCTACACTACATTGCAATCAAGGTGTTTCGCAAGCTGAAAGATGAAACCAACCTCCTTTCGTCTGCCATTTTGCTTGATCAGTGTGCCCCCTATAGTTCGCTGGAGCCGCTAATGCCTCCGAGCATTTCAAATCCTTTAGTGTATAGACAGATTGTGGCATACCTCGATTTAAAGGATTTTTTTTGTTCTGTTCTACAGTTCCTGCTGAGTGTCCTGTGTGTCTGTGGGTGCGTGCATTACTCCAAACGTCAGGGCAAGGTGCGTACTTGATACCCGAACAGTGTTCAACTGCTGGTATGCTCTCCCTGATTCTCACTTGCCGCCCCACTTTTCTGCAGTACAAGGACTCCGAGGAAATCGCTTCCGACACACATCCCACGTCGGGAAAAGAAGCAGGCGACGGAATCTCCGACGAACCCAAGTTTGACGGGGGTGCGGTCCGCCAACGGAAGACGAAACAAACCAATGGCAACATCTGAACTGCGAGTCGCTGCAAGTCCTTCTGAAGCGCTCTGTCTCGTCAGTGCGCAACCAAAGAAATGCTAGTGTGCGCTGATTTGCAGCTGGTCTATCCTCTTCCTTTATTATTTTTTTTTTCTGCCAGAACATTATTGGTTGTGTTTATATTTTCTGACGGGCGCTCTAGTTGTTTTTGTTTTTTGTCATTGTTGTAAATGGAAAGGAAGAAACTCTGCTGGTATGAAGCACGGGTGGCATCACTTAAAGTGGGCGCTCTTTGGGGCATTGCGTTGTGTGGCACTTTTATAAGGTACTGTGAAGGATGCTCAAGATGTGGCCATGTCTATTTAGGGTCGTGTAGCCTGTTCAGCTAGGTGGCCAAGTTTGTGACGTCTTTACAACAGATATTTTGTGAGGACTAAATAAATTATGATTATTTATTTGACGGCATAGTCCACTGTATCGTCTTTCTTGATCTTGGCGTTGCTTGGATCAGTGTCAACATATTGGTTGCACAGTGTTCGGAATTATGCTTTGCTTCGTAAGAACACTTGGGGAGTTTCTACTTCAGGTTGGTTTTATGATCATGTCCCATAGTCTTTAAAATACATTTTTCTAGTTTTGAGAAGAAAAAGTCTGTGAAGGGTGTTTTTAAGCCTTGACCTTGTCAAAAGTACACCACACAGTTATTCCTTTTTTTTTTGTCATCTTTAGGTACAGTAATTCTTTTTTTTTTTTTTTACTCAGGTATTCTCATATATTTTGCTAACTGTTGTCGGAAACAATTCATTCATTCATTCATTCATTTATTGATACTGTCAGCCCATTGGGCTATTACAGGAGTGGGTACCTTTTTCTTTAAACCACGCTTTTTTTTTTACATTTTATTTGCGAGCTAATAATTGGGGTTGTGTGGATATTTATCCAGCGTGTAGTTGGTCAGCCATTTCAAAGTTGCGGCGAGTCACTCGCTGTAGATGAGCAATTTAGCCGGTGCACTACAGCCGCTAGCTGGGCGTCTTTAACGTGCATCACGCAGTAGTGATACTGAACCGCACGCCGGTGCGATGCTCAACCAGATCGAAACGGGCAAGGGTGGGGAATTGAGAAAATGAAATGGCAAAGAAAGCAAAACCTCCATTGAGGAACGCCAACTCGCTCAAGCAACCAATTTTGCATATTTTTTTTTTTTTGCAATATATTTTAAAAGCGTGAACACAGTTTAAAAAAAAGGTTGCAGAAAAAAAAAAAAAAAAGATTGGGCTAACCGAAACCGAAACTACAAACCTTACGGTGACATCAACCGAGCAGAGGCAACGCGTTTTATTAAGCAAAATCAGAACGTATCTTTTTTTTATTAGTGTACTACAATCGCCGTTGTCTACAACAAACACATATCCCCCCCCCCCCTCTTTTTTTCACTTAAAAAAAAAAAGTGAATACATGGGTTGCATGTGACGTCATTCAAAGAGCGCTCCGATGACCCCCAGAGAAGAGGGGAAGAAAGAGCATCCCTCTTATCAGGATCTTTTGTGCCTCCCGGATTATAAACGACGTAGCTATTCTCCTCCCAGACGATTATAAAAGATTAACCCGCCACACAAAATTCTTACAAAAGCAGCTTTCCTCTCCTTCCCTTACATGGAGGTCAAAAGTATGCGATGTGACGTCACAGCAACCAATGTGCAACCCATGTATTGAAACAGAACCGAAACTATAATTGTACCGTTTGTCGCTTGCGACTCCGCCGCACGCCGAGAGTAGCAGCAGAGAGAGAGAGAGAGAGCGCAAAAAATGGCGTCTCTGAGCGTCAGCCGTGTCGGCGGCTGCACGAGCGTAGCGTTTCTCTCGCCCACTGGGCGCAGCAGGTGACGGGAACCCAGGATCCAGACAAACACCGGAAGCGCAGCGACACTTCCAAGCATCCAACCGCCCGCCCAACATCGAAAAAAAAAAAAAAAAAAAAAAAATCGTCCCCGCCCGCGAAGGTAACGAAAACTCGGCGCTGAATCCACCGCCTCTCTCCACCGATGAAACGACGCCAACGACAAAACGGGCGCGCAGGACGCATGTGTTCTACGACGACGACGTCAACAACACGACCATTCGACGCAGGGCGGTGGCTCTAGCAGCTCGGACGACGACGTTCAAAGGGTTTGCCGACGACGGAGCTATTTTAGAACCATCCATGCACGCCGGAGAACGGACACGATGGATCTCAAGTCTGATTCGAGGTTCTACGTTGGCTCCAGGAGGCTCGCGTCCGTCGCAGCGTACTTCGGCCTCAGTACCGACAAGGTATAACTCTACCCCATTGTTTTCCTCGAACGTTTCCTAAAAGATTCGGGGCGTAACCCGATCCCGCACGCACATAAATACACAAACATGCACTCTGACGCGGCCAAGCTCGCTTTCACCACGCACGATCGTTTATTTGTACGGCTGCGCTCGCTAAGCGATCCTCCAAACACCCCACAAACACAGAACCTACTAGTTCGAGAAGAATACATATTTAAAGCACAATAATAAATCGCCGATAATATAAACGCGTTAGAAAAAAAGAGAAAAGGAAAAGGAGGGGGGGGGGGGGGGGGGTTCAAAAAACCACGAGCAACCCTTTTCTTTTTTTAACAGAAAATAAACAATACCACAAAATTCGGGCGTGATGGTGGGGTCATGTATGTACGACCAAACGGGCTGTTCTATTTTTACGTGGCCGCAGCTTCGTTTTAGAACAGAAAGAAAAGAGCGACACCTCACCGTTATGCAACGCGCACCACCGTCGGTCTGGTGGTTGGCGGCTAGACGGCTAGACGACGGCTAGGCGCTCGCAACTTCCGTGGCTTTCGAAGAATGGAGTTCACTGCAGAAGCCCTGCGAAACTATGCTACCCGTTTGTTTGACTTTCTCGTGTACCTGTCGTCTCTTACGCGGACTAAAGGAGGCTCGGCACTGCTTGTCAGAGTCGCAGTACGTAAACCATTTTAATTCTCACCCGGTTCGGTTTGGTTCTCGTTTCGCAAACGCATGTTCGTGCGCGCGCGTGCACGCGCGAAAGTGTTATCAGTGTGCGCGCTCCTGCGCTCATTCGTGGTTGTGTTTGCCGCTTCTCGCTGCTTTGTAAAGGCAGTGCGGGGTGCAAGTTCGTCTGCTTTTTGCGCAGGGGTTGCTTTGACATCAGAACGCCGAGCTGATTGGCTCTGATGAGATAAAGAGTAGGCCGCCTCAATGCTAACTCCCTCTACCCACTATCCTTCCAATCGGAGCCAATCGGAACCCGGCGTTCTGACGTCACCCTTCAACCCTTGCTTCAGCAGACGAGCTTGTGCTTCGCATAGTTTGGTTGGCTCGTGCTGGGTAACGCCCCTTTGAGATTGTGCATCATGATAGGAAGAAAACATATTTAATTACTTCAGATGCCAAATGTACCTGAATGCTTTATGGCAGAATGCTTTAAAGTTCTAAATGCAAATTTATGTGGCGGCCCTCAGGGGCGGATGCAGGAATTTCCTGAGGGGTGGGTCACGTGTTGATCAGCGTACCATGTTTTGGAACCCCCTCCCTCTCTGCTTCGTTTTACGCCCTAAAAGTTACACAAGCAGAAATCAAGAGGGGGGTCAGGACATCCGGACCCCCCCTCTAAATCCGCCTGGCGGCCCTAGACCTTTAGGTGAAGGTGTCTAGAACTTTGTTATATAAACAATCAAGTTCCTCAAAACATAAAAAAAAAAAAAAAAAAAAAAAAAAAAAATGTGTACAACATGCAACCTTGCGAGCGCTAATTAGAGATATGCAGTGTTCATCTTTGTAATGCCAGGTATTTGAACTAGTTACATAGTACATTTAAGCACAATGTATTTTACAATTTGGCATTGTGGTTAGACATTGCTTAATTAAATAATTGTGTATATGTAGGGTTGTTCGTTTTCGGGTAAAACCCGATTTTACCTGATTTTTACACCCCGAACATGTTTCAGGAAAATCGGGTTGAACCCGATTTCTTCCCGAATTCCAAAACCACATGACCAACCTCTTTATTTTTACGCCGCACGGAGTTTGCCGTGCACACACGCTATCTACCCTACTTCGGGACAACAGTGACCTGTAATTCATTTCGCAAGCTGCGTGCAGCACTGTGGACGCTACACGGCTCTCAACCAACCGCCCAACGAGCGCGCCTAACTTACCGTGGCATTCTACGGAGGCCGGCTGAGGAAAAGCGACAATAGGCGTTGGGGCCTCGGAGGGACATTTCCGTCCCCCCGCTGTGCAGGTGGAACCGCCTCGGCACGCCACATAGCTTCGGCCCTGCTGCACGCAGCTTGTGAAATGCACTATCAATCCCCCTTCGGTCGCTGAGGTGTCGACCCCCAAAGGGTCTCTCGGGTAGCATGGCCATCGCGCTGACGTCCAACTTTTCTCACGAACAACGTTCGAGCCAGTCAGTCGCGTAAACAGATCGGGAAAAGTTAACAAGTTTATTTCATAGCGAAATATCTGATCGAAGACGACTGTGCCTCGAACGGTCGAGATTTTTGTTGGCACCTGAGAGAGAGGAGGATTCCTTGGGCGGTACTTCCCTTGAAGCAACCGACAGCAGCCGGTTGCTTCAAGTAACCTTAGCCCAGTAACCAGCTTGAAACACATCCCTAATTTTAACGCGTTAGCAATAAACAGCTCGTAATACCCTCCAATAACAAAAAAAAAAATGTATTATTGAGTACATTCGTGTATTTAACCCGAAAAAACCCGAATTTCCGAATGTTTCCTCAAAAACCCGATTTCTCCCCGATTATCAGCCTGAAAAATAGCACCCGATTTTTACCCCCTGAATTTAGAAAAATATAAACCCGAAAACGAACAACCCTATGTATATGTAATTACTGTGAACGACTTTAATTTTCATGGGCGCATATTTTCGCGAATCGGGCCAAAGTTGAAAATTTGAAATTATTTGCGGGTTCTAATTTTCGTGAATCGAGTGTAGCTTTTGTAGCGAATTGTTCGCAGAACATATTTTTTGCCAATTGTACGCGATTCGCAAAAATTGAGTCGTTTACAGTATCTAAAATACGAGGCACAGCTGAATGTTTCACAGTAGGCTACCCCAAAGTCCTAAATGCAGATTTACATGGTGGTCCTAAACCTTTAGGTAGACGTGTCTAAAACCTCAAAGTAACTGAAACAAAACTTTAAAAAATCGCCTGAAAAAAACATACACACAAAAAAAAATACACCATTGTACAACGAAACTAGAAGTAATTTTAATGCAAACAAGTGCTATATTTAGAAATATGCAAGATGAATATATGCAGGTATTCAAAGTATTTACATATAGTGCATTTAGGTATGGGGGTGTTTGCCATTTTGCATGTCATATGTAAAGTGCCAAAACATTTAAAATATTACATGAAATATGTAGGCATATTAATTCTAACTGAGGAGCGCGTCTTTAGATGCGTGGCAATTTTGACCGCAGCTTGGGGTGCGCATCTTTAAACCCTTGCTCTTGAAACGGCTCTGTCATTGCACAAGAGAAAGAGCCATCTATACCAAAACATAGAAAATAATTTTGCTTTAAAAGCCAATGCATAGACGGCATCACAAAGACGGTTTGACAAGACACGTGTGGTACCAAAAAAATATAGGCAACATGGGGAGAAAAAGTTCCCATTTTGGCAATATTTTTGGGGATCATGGAAGTCCCCATTTAAAGGGTTTAAAACTGACATTCTAAAAGGATAACCTTTCCCATGCCTTAAATATGACATAAAACTGTCCTCATTAGGCGGGCCTCATGTACGGTGGAAATGTGCCAAGTATTTCTGACAAAGTATGTGCTCTCAAGATATTCTTGTCACTGTCAGAAATGAATCGGAGCTCCACCATAGTGCCTGTGGCAACGTGCCCAGAGAGAAACCGAATAAAAACTTGCGTGACTTCTACAACAAAAAGCAAACGAGTGTGTCGGGCATGTGTTGCCGCCCTGAAGGAAAGATATTTCTCTGAAACAACCATAGTCACAGACAACAAATTCAGGGCACGCCTTATGATGTCCACACCTCTTACCTCGTGATTTGTCCTCCGGTGTTCTTATTGGCTGGTGCCTCAACATCGTTGGCTACAGAGCGACCTGTTGTTCAAGCCCACAAAACTCCCGTCAAACAGATGGAGAATATAATTGTACCTAGCCACCTGGAGATGATCCATCCACGACTAGAATTCACAAATGATGTTATGCTCATTATCTCGGATGCCTCCAGCTGAATAAAACAATGCAAAGGCTCACCGAGGTTTTCATTTTTAGGAAATATTTGCTCCAAGATTACAAAATACCATATCTTGAATCTTAAACCATAATATTTTCTTTTTTAACATGGGAAAATGATTTTACAAAAATAACCTCTTAAATACCAGGTAAATAAGAAAACAAACTTCTCAGTTCCTTTTTAAGCTTGAGCTTGAAAGATGAGAGGATTTTTTAATCAATTTGATGTGTTTTTGGGCCATCCTGTGATGATTAGCACTTGCACTCCAGCAATAGAAGGCAGGCTGACTAAACACGATTAATCTGATTGCGCACAATTAAATTTGATGATTCTCACTCAATTTTCATAATCTTACATGCGATCAGTAGCCTTTATCTGTTCCGCCCACCGATCTTAAGAGCACGGCAATGATATCCGACTAAGCGTATACAAGTTTACTCTAAGAACACCGTGCTCTAGTGTTGTGCAGATGCAGAATTCGTTGCGTCGTGCGCCAAATCTATAGGCACGGGCGTACACGTCGGTGAAGTCTACTAAAGTTTTGCAACCCCTTCCCGATCGTTCCAGTTCAACTTCCTCTTCTGCCAGCTCATGTTCCTGGTTATCTCGTACCCGTACCGCATACTGCTCCACCCCTCAAAGGTCTCCCCCACCATCAGGCACCTGGTTGCTCTCGGCATCGGCCTCAGCTTCGGGTACTTCTGCTTCGGATAGTAAGTGCGTCAACAGCTGTCGTGGCACCATGCACGTGGAAAGCATACCTGCGGCTGTGACCCACCTTGAAATACCGAGCACACGCCCATGTCGCATAAGCCCCCACTTTTTAAACATTTCGAGTTGATACTATAAACAAAGGACGCAAAGCGTCCACCTCGGCAATCTTTTGAGGTAGCCGAGGTGCTCTTTTGCGTGAGCTGCTTCTCCAGGAAGACTGTGCAAAGCAGTGAAGCTTTATGCAAGTGTGCCAGCGCGAACCAGGCTCAACGAGAGCAATGCGGCAGCTTTAAAAGCAGAGGTCTATCCCATCTTATAGCCCTTCTGCTTTTAGATCTAGCAAGCGCCCACCCCCATTTTTTCGCGATCATCTCCCCAACATTTGCGTGAGCGCTTGCTCAGCATTTTACAGTAGACTTGTCCCAACACAGAGGATCAATTAAGATCTGAACCACGTCAGCAAGGACAAGTTTGCGAGTGTTGCGCATTTCTGTCGTCGTCTTGGGTGCTCAAAGATGATGCCCTTGTAGATTTGGCAGTAGTCTCTGTTGCAGCCGTTATTGAGAAACATGCATGTGCAATCTGCTTGCAGCCAAATCCTGCACCTCCTTGTACAAGCAACCATTATCTATGGCATCATCCTCTTCTCAAGCCCAGACCACATGCACAAGTGAGTATGTTACAAGTGCTGCCATTGCAAGATGATAAATCATTTAAAATAAAACAACGCATATGCTCTCTTTTCATTTCAGGGTTCTAGCTGCGCTTGTTTCCATTCCACCATACTCTTCTTGTTTTCTGTGATGTCCTGTTTGCAAAATACCGTATAAACTGGAATATAGGTCGAACCGGAATATAGGTCGACCCCTTAATTTACAAGTTGCAAAAAGCAAAAAAAAGCTTTTATGGCAAGAAAATGTAACCTTACCTTGGTAACAAAATTGGCCAAGTATATAGAAGGACGAGGAAACTTGGCACATTTATTTAATTGCTTCACATGCAATTAAACAGGAAGTGCGTGAGCGTTATCACCCATATTCTTCAGAACCTTCATCCGACGACGAGTTCACTAATGCAATTCAAAGGGACGATGCTTTCCCTTTGAATTGCACCCTCGAGAGCCCAGAGGCATGAGCGACTTCGACGGCCTTCATACGGATGCACTCCGACCTCACAGGCAGCGATCTGGCGCGTAGATCCCAAATAAAATTTGCCACTTTTGTTTCTAATTCGAGGTACACCGCAGTCCTCCCACAAAATGAAGTTTTCTTCGCCTTGCAGTAAACCGCCAGTTTTTGTCTCTGGCCTTGCCAGTAGCGTATGCTTTTCTCCAACACACCAAAATTATTTTTGTCTTTTCCGCTAATGACCGTTATATAAGACAACGGTCAACTTTTTCACGTCCATTTTCAAAAATAAATTTGACATATAGTCCGGTTTATACGGTATCTCTTGACAATAAGAAAGTAGCAGTAGTGTATACTAGATTTGTGCTATCCTCCCTTCAATCACATTTCATGTGTCTGCACGAGTTTGTAACAAGCTTTCTTCCCAATACTCCTACAGGTTGGCCCTCATTTTTGGCATGAGCTACCTTTCTGTCATCCACATCATGCGCCAGATATACGACTACGGTGGATACCACTTAGATGTCACTGGGTATGTTTTTCCAGGAATGGCCTCAGTCATTTTGCCCCGACAGTATGTGCTACCCAGGGGTGGATCCAGAACTCCGTTTTCGGGGGGGGGGGGGGGGGGGGTGGGGGGGAAGGGGGGGGCGGGGGGGGGGGGCAGTCGCCCCTCCCCCCCCTTTTTTGAATTTGCCCCTGGTGCTACCGTGTGGCATGGAATTTAGCTCTTGTTTGCACGTGTCGCTCAGGTCTGCCTTGAGCCGAAATCTCAAAACTAGCGTAACACCCAGAAATACAGTATCAAACCAGTAAAAGTAGAGGCAATAGTTGCCACTACTATGCACTTCTAATAGCATGATCTGGGACATTTTTATGAAACCATTCCAGATCATGAAATTGGGCATAAGAGTACATAAATGAAAAAATCATCCACATGACAGCAAGAGAAAGTATGTGCTTGTACAAACAGCTAAAAAACAAGTGTTGCATCAAATTGGCCGTACAAGAACCCAAAAAGTTTTGCAAAGGTTTTGAAAACTGTAAGAACTGTATCACATTGCAGCTTGCAGCATGGGGTTATGTCGACAACAGGCTGATCTCTATTTGAATGCTGTTCTTTCTTTAACATCAGTGTTGTCATCCCACATTTTTTGATTGCAATAAGGACTACAATGAACTAGTGCTGAACTCGAGTGAAAAAAACTGCTTGACCTTTGGTGTGTCCCAAAGCTGTCCAAATGCAGTCTTGGGTAGTAACGCGTTACTAGTAACACGTTACTGTAACTTCGTTACTTTTTTGGTAACTTGTAACTGTAACGAGTTACTTTTTAAAAATGTAACTTGTAACTGTAGTTCTATTACTTTTTTCTAAGGTAACGATGAAAGTAACGACATTACTTTTGTCATTACTTTCCAGTTTTTTATGAATAATATATCACTGAACGAGTACAATTTAGCCATTCTTTGCGCTTTCCAAATTGTCTGTTCCGACATTTCGAGTGTCAAGTTATTTTTTGCAAAAACTTGTGAATACATTCTTTCTCGGCAGTCACGACCCAAATATAGCCACGTGTAGATTTGGTGAAAAAAAAAGTAGTTATCTTCAGCATGCGCTTGTACTTTGGAGACTAAACACTTGCATCTTAGTATCTTGAATAACTATCTCTTTTGTAGTTTTTCTTCTTTCTGCGCAAACGCTTTTTAATCGGGTGAATCCAACATGAAACAACAATACACACGGAGGAAACTGAGAATTTTTCGTATTTCGATTAGCGCCACTACTCCGGTGTAGTGTCAGCAGTCGAGGCAAAACTTACTGCTGTTTGCGCGGGGTTTGTTTCTGGCTTGCCGGATACGAACTGAAATATGTCCAGGGACTCTATGAACCCAGCGCAACCGTCAGCGAGCCAGCAATGTGCCAGTGCTACCAAGGATATGAATGTTGATAAGAACAAAGAACTACCATGGCGGGCATATAGAAAATATTTTGCTGTGGTGGAGCTGGTTACTAGCAACTTGACCGCGGAAAATGGCACTCTGTTGCCTCAACGCCCACCCGGCAATCAAAAACCTGTTCCAGCGAAACAATACAGCAATCCCATCCAGTACGTTAGACAAGCGCCTGTTCAGCAAGGGCAGGGACGTGTTCATTATCAAGCAAGGGAAACTTTCAGACACTAATTTCGAGAAGCAACTGCTGCTAAAGTTACAATATGAAGTAAAAAGCACACTTTTTAATTTTATGCGAAGAAACTTGGTGAAAAGCGTTTTCTAGTTTTTCCTAATTTTTTTTTTTGTGTTATAGAAAAGTAACTGAAAAGTAATGTCGTTACTTTTTAAAATAAACTGTAATGAGTTACTTTTTTGTTTCGGTAACTGTAACGGTAACTTTGCTACTTTTTTCTGAAAGTAACTGTAACAAATTACCTTTTAAAGGTAACTTACCCAAGAGTGTCCAAATGCATAGCGGTTATAGATCCTCTTTCACGTCATAGTCTCACATGACCATCAGGAAAGCATGTGGTCACTGATTTTATGTCATGTGACATGATGTCACGCTGATGACATCACATGAACACTATGACATCATCACAGTGTTCACTTCATGACGTCACAGCGAACCTTCTAAAATCAATGATATCACGCGAACACCGTCACAATGTGGTGGAAGCAGGGTCATTATACTCATTGAGCAATTAAATTTTGTCTACCATCTGGTTCATGACCAGAGTTCACGGTACGTGCTCTCCGACACAGCCCCCTGATGGTGGCCACGCAGAAGGTGACCAGCATTGCCTTCAACCTACACGACGGGCTCTGCGAGAAGCAGAGGGCCACACTGCATCCTGAGCAGAGGAGGCAGATGGTGAGGTGAGTTCTAAATAATTGTGTGCAAATAGTAGACTGAATTTGAAACAAGCAAATTCAAAGCAAAAAGGGGTTTTGGCCGGATATTTTCCAACCAAATAGTTTCTCGAAGTCAATTTATAGGGTTCCGTGTTTTTGGATAAATCCGAAAATCTCCGAAAAGCACCCGCTGGTAAAATTGTGGTCAATTTGGATTTATCCGATAAACTCAGAATTTTGATGTGCCAATGCCCCCCTCCCCCTCCCCCAAATAAACTAAATAAAGATGGTCGTTTGCAATGAAGTTTGATCAGCGCTCAGCGTCAATGGTCCCGGGCAAATGCCACCACAGTTATCTTTCAAATCTCGGATCATTGACAAAAGGGGTCTTACCGCTCATCTAGTCAAGGTTCAGGACGACACGTCATTGTACTTTCGGATCACGACAAACGCCTCTGTATTGGTTTCCAGTTTGGGCCATACTATTCGTGTTTTAAGATGAAGCAGAAGTTGTGTTTTTGTAACAGTTAAAGCTATGGACCAGAGAGATTGCATAAAATTGGAAGAGGGTCAGTTGAAACTTCCCTATTACATCCTTTACCACTCCCCCTCGCGCAGCCGCGGGGTAGCATGGAATAGGATGGGATGAATACGTGCTTCCCAGCAACTACCTCCAGGAGTGCAGGAGTTTATTTTTAAGGTATCGAAGTTTATCCAAGCCACAGGTGTGTGAAACTTTTGCCGTGGGACAAATTAGTATTGCCAATGGCAATGGCACCAACACCAAATCCAGCTGAAAAAATGTTAATTGATATAAAAGTGATGAAAATAATCCCTGGAGAAGGGGAACAAGAGGGACAAAGGACATACATAAATCTCCAAACACAGCTAGGTGACTGGTGAGCGACCGAAAAAATCTGCCCGGTCCGGGTATCGAACCCAGGACCTTTCCATTACAGGTCTACCAACTGAGCTAACCAGGGGTTAGACGTCAGTAGAGCAAACGGGTTTTATCAGTTGCCACCAGTCTAACACCAACAAGGGTGAAGCTTGCAAGTTAAGGTTGTAATTATAATGCAATTAAATGCAAAGGTGCAAGTGAGCTGGACAAGAATGTGTTTTATGTTTTTTATCTAGCATACATTTACACCCAGATATTATTTATTTATTTTTCATAGGAAACACTGTGAAATTAAGTTCAGAATTTTGGAGATTTTAGAATAAATTAAAAATAAACTTCTATAAACTCTGAATTTTTAGAAAAAAAATAAACTCCGAAAAACGCCGTCTAAATTTGACAAAAAATAAACTCCGAAAACACAGAATTCTATTTATAAGCTAATTATAATCTAACTATATATACAATCTGTGATCTCAAAAAGTCTGATGCCTTGGAATGGCAAGTAAATGACGAATTATGCCCAATTATATGTAGGGATGTCGCGAACCACCCTAGGTTCGATTTCGAAAGGTTTCGATATTTGCAAAGCGAACTGAGGTTCGATTTCGAAAAATTTCGATATTTTCGTACCGACCAAGGTTCGATTTCGAAAAATTCGCAACTTTTGACCACAGCGGGGTTTCGAATTCGAAAATTTCGAAGCTTTCACGGTTTCTAAAATTTCGAATTCGAATATTTCGAATTTTTTTTTACTTCAGGTTCGATAAATTCGAAGATTTCGAAATTCTTTGTAAAAAAAATTCGAAAACTTCGAACGCTTCGAATTTTTATAGACATGAAGTTCGGACAATTTGAAGATTTCGAATTTTTTTCTGCATAAAGTTCGAAAAGTTCGAAGGTTTCGATTCTCTTTTAACGCTAATTTAAAAAAAAAAAAAAAAAAAAAAAAACTTCGAAGATTTTGAATTTTTTTTTAATCCAAGTTTTGAAAGTTCGAAGTCCGATTTTCCAGTTTTTCCACAGTTTCAGTTTCAAATAACGTTTTCACGACTCACTTGTTTTCACAAAATCAAGTTTAGAAAAGTTAAGGTGTGATATCTAGATTCTGCGAAGTTGGTCAGGCAATTAAATGAGACGACGAGTGTCCCGGACGTGCTACAATATTTGCCAGTGCAGAATTGTGACCGCCAGCCCCGGGGGGGGGGGGGGGGATCTTTAACCTGCATCACGCAGTAGTGATCACACGAACACACTGTTTTACGAGACTCATCCAGTTCGAAACGGCCAGGGGCGAGCAGGAGGTTGAGGCTCAGAAAAACTTTGAAGCGACCTGGCAAACTACCTCGCCACCCCTTGCACGCTGGTAGTAATCCGATCCGGTGAAGTTTATAATTGTCCTGGAGGTTTATTTTCTGGGACGGAGGAATCGCCTCGCAAAAAGCACAAAAGCCGACACAACTCGAGGTCGAGGAGCGTTCTACCATACAAGTGGCGTCGGAAGAGGAAAAACGGGGGGAAAGAGGGTAGCGGGAGAGGGGGGGGGGGGGGGGGGGTCTTCAGCCTCCTTCTTCCCCTTGCAGGTATTTCGGACTGTTAAAGAAAACAATACGGGGAAAGAGGGCGTGGTCGACCTTATTTTAATCTGAAATTATTTATGCATATGTATAGCTACTGTCGCTCTTCACTGCAGAAAAGGTTGCGTAGATGGTCATTGTTAGAAACTCGTTGTCAGAAGGCACTGCTCGTCACATGCTTAGTGGTTCGGAAGTTCAAAGCTGTCTTTTCGACCTAAACACCTGTGCCGATAGTAACAAAAAAAAAATAATAAATGGGGAAATAAAAAGCAGGAAAAAAAGAAAAAAAAAAGCTATCAAGAATTCGTCGGAAGTGTTATATTGTTGCATATTCAGAGGTTCAGAACTTCGAAACAAGTTTCTTTTACCAAAATGTGTACAGGCTAAAAGAAACACGTCCCAGGAACGTGAAGCGAAAAAAAAAAAAAGTCTTAATGACGTGCTGAACTTGAACACTATTAGAAATCTTCTCCCATGAGTTAATTTATTCCTTAACATGAAAAAACAATAAATATATTATTTTGTATTCTGCAGATGGCAATGATATGTACTGTCTGTGGTGTTAATTTAAATGCGATACCTCAAACAACTTAGACGAAAATAAATATCAAGTTTAGGTCATAATTGCATGCAGATACATGTTTGGACATTTCTTCGAAACTCACGTTGAATAACAATAATCACATCTTAAGACGGCACTTACCTAGGCTATACATAGATCATTCTTAAAAAAAGTATAACATATCTACCATAAATAGCTCCGGCTGCAGCTTGCTTCAAATCTGGCACAAACGATAATCGTCAAAAACCCGTCGTCCTTCCTCGCCCCTTTGGGGATTTATTTCTTTAAAGCTAAGCATGCCAGAACATTGAAATAAACGACATTGTCTTTCGTAAGGAACGCAGCACCGCGTGTAAAAGTTCGAGAAAAAAAAATTACGAATGTACCCCACTACTTGAAATCAAATAAAACCGTCCGCCGGTCTTTCGAAGTTCGACGAACGTCGAACTTTTACCCTATAAGTTCGAAGTTCGACGAACTTCTGACTTTTCAGAATTCGAAAGTTCGAAACTTTTCGAATTCTCTTGATAAATAAGTTCGAAAGTTCGAAATTCATCGAATTTTTTGGTCAGTCAAGTTCGAAAGTTCGACAAGCATCGAACCTTGCAGCGCAATAAGTTCGAAAGTTCGGAAAAGATAGAATTTTTTAGCGTAATAAGTTCGACGGTTCGAAAAGCGTCGAACTTCTTAGCTTAACAAGTTCGAAAATTCGACCTCCGTCGAATTTTACAATATAGACAATTCGAAAAATCGAAATCTTTCGAACCTTTCGAACCGCTTGATTCGATCATCGAAACTTCGATTCGAAAAAAGTTCGCTGCATCCCTAATTATATGTAATTTAGTGAATTCACAAATCCTGCTGTATGCAAATATCCTTTGTTCAAAACAAATAAAAAAATAAGAAAAGCATGAACGGTGAATGCAGGTTGTCAGGGCATCATCTCTGCCTAACGAGTACTCTTACATAAAAGCCACAGTTTAATTTTGAAAAATTTTACTGCAATGAGACATCAACATTCCCAAAGTTTCCTCTTTTTTTTTTAATGTATTATGCGCACGCGTGCACCATCCCGCTTTGAAAGTGTGCTTTCCTCAGAAGCACGCAACTGCGATATTCATACTTTTCCAAGCGTAGATTGCAGCGAGTTACCTCGTTGAGTGCGCTTCTCAACGAGCAACGGAACAATGCAGAAAAGCTACTCCCGCGCAGCTCGCTTCCGCGAGTGTTGCTTCTCCGCAGTGCACCCGTGCTTGTTAAGAAGCACGCTCAACGAGGCCAATCCGCCGCGACCAACACTCCGAAAAATACGAATATCGCAGTTCATTCTTGAAGGGAGTATCGAATAGCGTACTATTCGAAACTACTATTTGAAATTTCAAATATTTGCACACCACTAGTTCTAAAGCTTTTTTATGGTGTTCACACTGTGCAAGGCAGTGCAAAAGCATGTCAGCAACAGAGGTGCAGCTGTTGGTTTTAAGTCTCAGCATGCGCGATCAATGGTGTTGCACCACACAGAGTTGGGAGGTATGCAGTGCACCAACACTGCCCCCCCCCCCCCTGCCGTTCCACTTCATAGGAATGGAGCTGCGTAGCAGTCTACCAGTCACTTTATCACTTTAGGCATTTTCTATACATGCTTTATTCAACACTGCACGGTTCAACACATAACTGTTAGCACTCAAACTTTCCTTCCTTTGTTGCACCTACCTACTTCTCCATACAATTAAGATATGGGGTCAAATTTTCACGGAATGGTACGGATGCAAATGCTTAACTTTGCTTGCATTCCACTAGCATTAATAAAGATCGGTGCATGTTTCCAGGCTACAATTTCACATCCAATAATTTGTAAAAAGATGTTTCCACCACGCACTGCATCACCTTGGTCTATTTTTTATTATTTTAGAGCGCAGCTCTTAGGGGCCCGTTTCCGGCTTGAGCGGCGTCGCCGTCGGCGTAACCGCGCAATGCATCATGGGAAATGTCCCATAATGCACCGCGCGAGCCCCCCACTGGGGTCACGTGACCTCGTGGGGGGGGGCACGTGACCCCCCCAGGTCACGTGACCCCCCGATGTCACGTGACTCCCCTGAGGTCACGTGACCCCCTCCTCGAGGTCACGTGACCCCCGCCAATGTCGCGTGACCCCCGATTACTTCATCGTCACTGATGACGTCACCGGCATCCACATCGCCATCGTCATCATCACTGATGACGTCATCATCAATGATGACGTCACCGGCATGCACATCGTCATCATCACTGATGACGTCACCGGCATCCACATTGTCATCGTCACTGATGACGTCACCGGCATCCACATCGTCATCGTCACTGATGACGTCACCGGCATCGTCATCATCACTGATGACGTCACCGGCATCCGCATCGTCATCATCACTGATGACGTCATCAGCGACGTCACTGGTGACGTCACCTACATTCGCATCGTCATCGTCATCATCACTGGTGAAGTCATCAGTGACGTCACTAATGACGTCATCGGTACCCGCATCGTCATCGTCACTGATGACGTCATCAGTGACGTCAGTGATGACATCATCGGCATTGGGGGTCACGCGACCCCCAAGGTCACGTGACCCCCCCTGGTTAGTTTAACCCCCTCCCCCCCCCCCCAGTGCCCTTCCCTCCTCCTCCTCAAGAGCTGCGCTCTAATTCGGCGTTACAGGGAGTTGTAAGCGGCTTTCACTTTTTTTTTTTTTCCTTTTCAGAAAAGTGCCGACCGCCCTGGAGTACTATGGTTATGTCATGCACTACCACACACTCATGTGTGGGCCCCTGGTGTTCTTCAATGACTACCAGGACTTCATCAAAGGAAAGCAGTATCTGCGACACTCTATTCGGACTGGCGTACGTCTCCTCTGTTTTCCAAAAAATTTGTCACAGCTTGTGATAAAAAATAAAGTTCACGAGAAAACAAAAAGATAAGTTTGTTTATTTTTTTTTTTTGCAGATGAGGGGGACTCCCCGGGAGATTATAGAGCCGTCTTCCAATGTAAGAAACCCTTTTATGTCTGTGTATACAAAAAATGTCTAGAACATTTCAAACATGCATCCGCACACATTAATGTAAGAGCTTCCGTTAATACTGCCTGGTGTCAGGCAATCTTTTAGAGACTACAGGTTTCGTTAAACCCACTTGCTTGTTATATCCTTTTTTGTAGAACAGAAAAAGTATATAGGAGCGGAACCAGAAAACTACATGCTACCTCTAGCATACAGCCATGAAGCTATGCAAATGTGTGTTTCAAAATAAGGAAGACATTGACAGTTGTGAATGTAGTGCAATCACCAGAATTCGTGCAGATGAGTATGCTGAGCATTTGTTGTTTATATAGCGGGCAGTTGCAGCCAAGGTACTGACAACCTTCCTCTCTGCTGCGAGCATCATCTATCTGCTGCCTCAGTTCCCCATCGAGTATATCAAAGGTATGGCCTTTGTCATTTGACGTCACCGACACTCAGGAGCGATCAAGCATCACAGTATAGACTTAACTGGCATGCAGTTCCAAACAGGTTTATTTCTAATACCAAGCTGCCACCTACACCAATTATCAGTGGCATAGGAATTGTTTTCGAAGGGGGGGGGGGGGGGGGGGGGGGCGGGGAGGGAGGGAGGGAGGGAGGGAGGGAGGGAGGGAGGGAGGGAGGGAGGGAGGGAGGGGGGGGGGGGGAGGGGGGGGGAGGGGGGAGGGGAGGGGAGGGACGGAGGCTGAGATGTTTATGACGGGGGTGCAGGAGGAGGGGGAAATGCATGTGTGTATCATAGGGTTGGCTGGGTTTCGGGGAGGGCTGGGCTGGGGTGGGGTGGCTGAAGGTCCATAAGTTTCCCCCCTGGTTATGCCACTGCCAAGTATACACCGTTACGTATGCCAGAGATGAACAGGTTAAAGATTACATAAGCGCAGTCTACTGACCTCGCACCCAGGACTAAATGCAACTCTCGCTATTTCCAGAGGACGAGTTTTTTGAGAAGGGCTGGTTGTGGCAAATGCTGTACATCATCTGGGCCACCTCTCTCCACAGGCATAGATACTACCATGCCTGGACACTAGGTAAGCTTAGCCTGCCTCCCATGTTGCATGTCCCGAGGCAGAACAATGCAATATTATGGCATGACCTGCCACAAATAAATTGAAACTACCGTCCCGCAAATTGCAATCGATAAATGACAAAGCTCGAGAACAGTGTATCTTCTGGAGGAGCAGTTGGCACTGGATTCAGGTCATGTTGTGTCACGTCGTGTCAAGGCCCATTTTCTCCCGTTTTGGGGTTCTGGTGCCATAGAGCTCCATGTATTTGAGAGATTCATAGGCCGCCATTTTCCCATTGAAATTTTTAGAAAATCACCTATAACTTTTGAATAAGATATTGGTACGTACAGAAACTTTGGCATCTGGTTCGGCGATGCATAGTTTAGTTTTTTGGTGACAAAACCCCCGTAAATTTTTGGGGGAGACGCCGTACATGCCGTGCCAAAAGCAAGGCTCCGAGTCTTTGTTTACAAACAGTATGAGCAAGGTATTCCGAGCAAATGTGGCAAATGGTTTCACTCTGGGAGCATAGCAGAAATTTTGTTGCTGCTGTAAGATCTGTAGCTCGTGTTGTGGACGACATGAGACCATTATTGTCCAAAAAAAGGGATTTTGCAACTGCGATTTCGTAACTTCATGCAGGCGAAGCAATCTGCAATGCTGCCGGTTTTGGGTTCAACGGCTACACCAGCGACGGCAAAGCGCGATGGAATCTCCTCACCAACGTTGATATCCTTACCATCGAGGTAACAGTGATTAAGAACACAGGCGACCGAGCACCTTTCAAAACACCCTATTTTTACAGAAAACAGAAAGCTAATATTAATAAAATGGAAGACAAACTGCTCTTCAATATCCATATTCCCAAGAATCTGGCCATATATGTTCGTATCGAAAACCCTTTTAGGCAGCCGCATTTGCTTCGAGCTGTTTTTCTTCTTTTATGCATAAGTATTACCATGCCTAAAAGTTAGTTTGACCTGCAGACACCAGATGATTGTTGTCGACGTTCTGTGAACATACACATTAGTTTGCTTTGTCCCTGCCAGTTTCAAAGGTTCAACCTTTCAATGAGTGTGGTTAGAACCAGCTACACATATATAAAGAGATGTATACAGGGTTTTTCTTTTTGAGCGTAACAGATTTGTTTAAAAACAGCCGTGAAAGCTACACTAATGTGGTTTATGCGAGTGAGCTATTAGCGAGGAGATCGAACTATAGAGGGCGCAGTGTCATTATCACCATCACAAACAATTGCTGTGTGGTAAACAACTCCAACACAATATAGTCCATTGCAACTCAAGAAAGGAGGGGGAAGCAGAAGGAACGCCAAAGAGAGGAAGAAGTTTCCTCCTCTCTTCTCCAGCGTTCCGTCTGCTTTCTGCTCCCCAGACTTCCTTTCCCTTGCCCTACTTTCTTGAGTTGCAACGCACTACAGCACTTGTCTAGCGTACGCCTTATCGTGCCTGCGCTCGCTGAGTACTGCAGTGCTCGAAGGATGATTTTGAACCACACGACGATGCGGACACTGTTCGCCGTCGATAGTGGCGCAACGCTGCACTCCATAACATGATCGCAGTTGATCATGTCCTCTTTTTCAACGAGACACTGCTTGACTTCGCTGATGTCGTCCATGATTGTCGCAAGAGACAGGGTAACTGAAAAGTGAAGTGCGTGTTTTGCGAATAATTCAGAAAAACATGGAACGCTGCGCCGGCCACACACAATCCAGTGCGTGCAGACAACATGACGCGGTTGGCCCGGTACGCCCACATTGATTGTGTGAGGGGACTAGATTAATTCTATTTTGATACGTATAGGTATCTTCACGAGCCTTGCGTCGTTATCTTCCATGGCAGCGAATGCACTAATCACTGCGGACGGAGGGTTTGTTTTCCACACAGCGTTAGTTCCCGAGGTGGCCGCTAGGGAGCACCACTCCTCGATTTCTTCCCCAATAGGGCCTAGCGGACATAGTATAGGGGCATAACCGTAACAATCAGACAGCTAATTAGCTAAAATATGTTAGATTAAACAAATCTGTTAAGCTTAAAAAGAAACACCCTGTATATGTTCAGCAGGTTCCATCCACAAGCATGATCCAGCTAGCTCGGCTCCAACCCGTCATTCCTTTCAAACGAGACCAAGAGACCAAGACAGAATTTTACGACACCTCCGACTTGAGTTTATTGCAGCGTTGCACGCGCGCCGATTTGTTGAGCGGTTTAGCGAGCAAACTGCTGCTGCTCGCTCACTACCCCTTCTTCCTCTGGCACGCAGACGTCACTAAACCTACGTGAACTGCTGATTGCGTGGAACAAGTCGACGCAGACGTGGCTGCGCAACATTTCATACGAGCGAGTGGGGAAGCACCGGACTCAGCTCACCTTCATTCTGTCTGCCATGTGGCACGGATTCTACCCCGGCTACTACCTCACTTTCGGAGGGGGCACCCTCTTCACCCTGGCTGCGCGCTCGGTAAGTGGCCCCTCTCTTCACCGTTCAATTAAGTCCTCTCGGCTAGAGTTGTGGACTACTTGCGCAGTAGCACTAGATTTCCAAATTGCTTCTACTCGGGGCCAAAGACTAACGGCACTGTCGCTGAGGCGGCGACAAAATGAGTCCACCCTATTCTACCTCAGCCTTTAAAGGGGCGGTGCAATGATTTTAACACTGAACGAATGTGCAGCTTGTATTTTTTATATTGTTTACTTCGGCAAAAGTAAGAGAAAAAGTGCCACCATACCCCAACATACCTCTATTTCGCTGCGTAATCGTAAAATAAAAAACACTTTTTTTCCCAACCTGCGGCCACATGGTGGTCGCAAATGGAACCTGTGGTGTGACGTCATTCGGAGTGGTTTTTGTAAGTGATAGTGTTAGGCAATTGTAAGCTTGATTTAAGGTTAAGTTTAAAAAATCTTGTTGTTTAGGCATGCAGAAACGCTTCAAAAGCCTAATATAGCCGCTAAAAGGGTATGAATTATTTGTGGCGCCATCTACCGCAAGTCAACAAAACCTGCCGTCGTCGTCATCCGTCGACGCCCGAGGCGCCTACGGCGGCTACACGAGCAACCTAGACGTTTTGTCTTTCCGTCGCTCGACGGAGTGCGTTGGTCGTGGTCCGTAGTATCGTGGTATCGTTGTTGTTACTGGTGTCTCGACCTCGACTTCGACTTCGACTGCCCGCCGCGTCGCAAGCATGTTGTGCTCGACGTCGCTCAGGCCGTCCGCCCATGCCGCCATGTTGGTCGGGAATCGGCGGGGAGAGCGGCGAGCCGGCGAGTGCTGGGGAAACGGAAGCCAGAAGAACCCAACCGGAAACCAATGCCACTCCGAATGACGTCACAGGCGAAGCTGGTGCCGCTTCAATGTTGAGTTGAGGGGTGCCAGAGATACCAATTTCTTTTATTTTTTTTAATGAAAACTAGGGCAAGCAGGAAAGAATAGTTTTCGGTCCTTCGTTTTATGTGTGGCCGGGATCAATTCCCGCAATTAATTAGCCAAAGTCCGCAAATTGTTGCACCGCCCCTTTAAGGGCACCATGGAACAACTTTATTTTCCTTTTGGCTAGGTACTAGTGCCCAGAATAAACATTTCCCATTGGGGAAGCATGTAACAAGTTACGGGAAATCTTTTTTTTTTCTACCTGCGCTGTATTTTTTAAATGAATGCACTTATGAGGCTTATGGTGTATTCACACGAGATAACTATTTCTGGAGAAAACAAAGTATGTCATAGAACTGCAAGAAGGAAACGACACGAGAAGCAAAAAGCAGTGCAAAAACTCTAAGCAAGCAATCTCATGACGGAGTCGCATGTAGTTGAGTCGCAGGAGTCTTTCTTTTCTCAAACCTGTTGGCGACTTTCGGGGGCTCATCGAGCAAAAGGCAGGGAAAAAATAATAAAGAAAAGACAGCCCACACTTCAAAGCTGGTCATCATAATCCTTCCCTAAAAGCAGGGGGAACAAAGGAGGGGGCTTGATCACTCCGACGGAACGACGGATATTCTGTAGGCCGGTCACAGGTTCTCCCCGGCTCCCCGCTAGCTCCAGGGACTAGCGACCATCCATGACGTGGAGCACGTGACTTCAAAATCCGACTACGTTTAATCCTCTCCTCGGTGAGAAACTCCGTCGTGCGAATACGCCATTACGTTCCTCTTGGTGACGAATAATCCATCCAGTTGTGGGAGGCTGAACACGAAGGGAGTAGAATTCGCAGAACTGCAGAAAGAAACTATACACTGCAACCAATGGCCACTTCCTATCACTATAGTAGTCACAGGAGGGGTCACACGATATTCCGAGAAGATACGTAATCGCTGGCGGCTGGAAAAGATAATCCAACTTTCTTTTCGTAGTCCCCTTAAGTAACTGTAATCGGTTAGTTTTTCTAGAATCGTCCATAAGACTGCTTTGTGACCGGACGTGTGTGAAACCTGACCCTTGTCCCCGTTTATGTGCTTGTAGGTGAGGCGTAGCGTGAGGCCCATGTTCCAGCACAGCAACACGGCTCGGCAGCTGTACGACCTGCTGACATGCCTGGCGACTCGCATGGCCATTGGGTACATGGTCTTCCCTTTCCTGCTGCTGGACTTCTACGCCTGCATCAGGGTCTACAAGTGCGTACTGCTTCTGTCCCCTCCACACGGTGATTTCTTCGGCGAAGTGACTGCAAGTCGAACACGCGTGGTGCGTGCTATCACCCTCCGACCGAAGGAGTTCAAGGTCGGCGTCGAACCTCTTCCACCTCGGAAGGTGCCCGGACTTGACAAAAGTCTCACCGTTTAACAACAATCGGCGCGCATAACGGAAGTTCTACGCCGCAGACTTTCCAGTTCGAAAAGATCCCCGAAGGTCTCCTGGTAAGGAGGAATGTGCAATTAGCTAATACCAAAAGATACCTATTGTGCTAAATGAAACAACTGACCATTTTCTCCCTGTTTGAGTTTTCTCTTTTTGGATGCAAGCCTCCGTCCCATTAGAGTACAATGTCCCAATAGGTGAACCGGTTTAGGGCGTCATCTCGGAAGAGGAAATTAATGTATCCTCGCCCACATTGTTTCAGTGTACTGGCAAGTCATACGGCGAATGTCTTCACCGGCCAAACTCATAAAAGACGGTGAAACTCCAACAGTCTGCCACTCTTCCCCAAACATGATCGCCGCGAAATTCCCCCGCTAACTGTCTTCTCGTGCACACAATTGTTGACAGTCAGATACAATAGTGTCACGACGGAAAGCCATGAGAATAGAAAGTGGACAGACAACACGCAATAAGGTCGCGAACTCGGAGACAGTCTTACACCCGTTTCCTCAACTTCCTCCCCCATATCAAGCAAGATATACTGTTGATGCTGTAGTAGGCACGCACCGCCAGATCTCCTTTCCCCTTAAGCCCGACTGGAGGCCAACGTTATGACCCGATGGAACCAGTCAAGCAGTGCCGAAAGTGCATCATCACGGCTAAATCAATCTAACGCAGTCGTGACGCATTCACCGAGCGCAATTGGTTTAGTCGACAATAGTAGACGCACAAAGGCGATGAGCGTTGCAACGGTGCGCTTTCGGCGGCGTTTGATTGGCTCCGTCGGATTACGGCATCGGCCGTGGTTGGAGGTAAGGTGAAACGGGGCACAGTCTCACTACCGAAGAGCTCGGTCAAGCAGAAACGAGGCACTGCATCGACACTTACGCAGAATCCATCTTTACAGAAACTTCTGGTTCCTGGGCCACATCCTGGCACTCCTGGCGATGGTCCTGCTTCCCCGAGTCTTGCCGCCATCGCGACGAGCGTCGATCGTCAGGGCGGAGCAACAAGCCGAGGAGGAGGAGGATGGCAGGGAACTGTTCGGCCAGTCTGGCGAGATGGACCACGCCGGACATATGGACGAGTTCGTGCCCGTCAACGAAGCCACGGTCGCGGACGGTGTTGCGACCACTGCCGAGACCGCCACCTCCTACGGTCGGTCCACGACTGACAGAGAGACGGGCGAAGCTGCAATTACGGCCAAACCCACAAACGCAGACGGCCCCACGACGGCAGACGTATCGGTGATTGCTGGTGCGACCAAAGACAACCTTCGAGGCGAGGACAAGAAGAATGTCTAGAGAGTCCAAGCGTCTTCTTGTCGGTGTTTTCTTTGCAACGATCATGCGCCAAGTTGGTCGGCGTGTTTGTGCGAGTATGGTGCATGGTTGGCGAATTCTTGCGTGGCAAGCGTTGTAATGAGTCGTCATTGAACAGAGGATGTCGCCAAGCGTGCATTGCGAAAGGGTTGTGGTTGCTTATGGTGTTCATCATAAGAAAATGTTTCGCGACTTCATGGAAACTGGCTCGAGGAGGACCCCCTCATGAATCTGCATCAGGCACTGCGTGATTCTCTTTTCTCTCTCCTACGTTTTCGCGTGAGGGAGAGATTGTATCTTGTGACTGCCTCAATGCGATCAAAATATAAGGGGGTGTTTCGGTATCTACGGTGTTTGCCAGAAATGAAGACAGAAAAGTAGCGAGAGAAGTGCTATCGCTTGTACAGCAGCGTGCATGCGACCAAATTTCCAACTCGGGAGGAGCGACGAGCTTCGAGCAAATGGCATGGAACGCCTCGCTCATAACCTGGCTTCAGTGTAACGGCTCAGCTGAACCAGTGCTTCGTGTGATTAACTACTATGTAAGAGAGTTTGTTTGTAATTATACAATGCAGAATACAAAGTACAGAACAGAGCCTGGAATGGGCCGGCTAGTCAGCAAAAATATGAGAGCAAGCAATATATACTGTTTCCGAGATGTTTTGCAAGATCCAACGAATTGTCAGGCCTGCAGCCAATTAAGCCTCTGTGCTTTCGTTGAATAACAATAGGGGTTGTGTTTATTTTTATATGTATTAAATTTGCTATCGAAAACAAGGAAGGCACGGCTTGGACATTTTAGTTCAGCAACGCTCTTCATAGTGCTTTTCTTTTTTGACTATTTATTGTAGCAAGCAACAAGTTACACATACCACAATTTAAAGCACATGCACTAAGCTCGTGGCAGGCAAAAGGTACTCTTTCACGTTAACATTTCGTTAGAGGACAAATAGTCAAGCCTTCTGCTAATTTGGTGTCACAATTAAACCAGGGCACAGAGTAGCACTACAGTCATGGTAATATTTAGTTTACCTACTTATGTTGACGCACACGAGTTGCAAACTGGCATCACGCCTAAGATGAATCTGTGCTGCAGGAGTCTCGAGATTCTCTTGATAGGGGACCGTTCTGTTGAAATCTGTCCCCCCCATACTCTTTCTCAAAAAAGAGCTGGTTGTTTTATTTATTTTACCACCAGCAAAGTCAAAACAAGTTGCTGAAGGATGCCTGCCTCATATATATATATATATATATATATATATATATAAATGAATGAAAGTTGTGGTTGTTTCTTTTTATACCAGATGTTTGTATGTGTGCGTGTTGTTTATGCGGAAGTAAATTTGTTACTGTAAGAAAACTTGACTCGTAGAGTTCTTCCAGATATGTACCCTCTGGCAACATTGACGATGCATTCTCTATCCAGACTTTCCGAGTTGCGCAGCAGCAAGTTTTGCTTGCAAAAGAGTAAAAATAGAGGACGGTCAAGAAACTTTGGGAGCTCAGAAAATTTCCTTGACCGTCCTGCCCCTAAATGATGCGCTCTTATATTTTTTGTTTAGATCTAAGTCCCCTAATTGTGATGCATATTGATGACACTCCCTAGTTTGTGTGGTTTACAAGCTGTGGCTTCTGCACAGCTTCACTACATTAATGCCAAAACTGAGGGGTTCCTCATCTGTCAATCAAAAGAGAGAAAATATCAAAGAAACTTTCAGCCTTTCCACTCTGGTGAAGAGGGAAGACCGGCAAAGCTGTACTATGAAGGGACAACCTCAAGGACGACTTCTTGGACAACCTCAAGGACGACGCCTAGAGGACAATGTCTAGGACGACCTCAAGGACGACCTCGAGGATGACTTCTAGGATGACCTCGAGGACAATGCTTAGAGGATGACGCCTAGGACGACCTCAGGGACGACGTCTAGGATGACCTCAAGGATGACTTCTAGGATAACCTCAAAAACGGCTTCTAAGACGACATCAAACGACACCTAGGACGACCTCAAGGATGACTTCTAGGATGACGCCTAGAGAAATTCAGCCTTTCCACTCTGGTGAAAACCAGAGTGGAAAGGCTGGAAAGGTTGCTGCCATCGCTCATAGATGGCGGTAGCTGTCCAGGGTTCTGTGTCAACATTTATTTGGTGATAGATACGAAACCGGGGAAACCAGCCCTTAACAGCTCCGCTGTAAAAAAAAACTTGAGGTAGAAAAGTTTGATGACCCCTGTTCTAAAGAATTGGTTGTTCAAGCGCTGATGGTTGGAAATTTGGGGATTAACCAAAGAAAGTGCCGCCGAGCTGCCACACAGTGTGTACCCCCAAAAAATGTACAGGTTTTTTTGCAGCGCAAAAATAAACTGCATTGCCGAACGCACATTCTCCGCCCAAATGTAGCGCTAGTGGTCTGAACCACGTGCCAAAGTTTCAAAGCTAACCGTTGTCGCTTTCAAAGGAAGCAATTTTCTGAAAATGTTATTGTGAAAAAGGGGCCCGTTTTTGCTAAATGGCGCCCATTCAGCTCCATGTATTCAACCGCCATTTTTCCATTGAAACTCAAAGAAAAACAAACATTTATAATTTAACATTTTTGAATAAAATAACAGTTTGTTCTGAAATCTTGGCATCTGGTTCAGACTGCTAGCGTTACATTTGGGCGGAGAATGAACGCTTGGTGATGCATACCTTATTTCTGAAATGCAAAGAAACATGTAATTTTTTGGGGGGGTGGGGAAGGGGAGACACTTTATACTACTCGGTCCAAGCTAAACACTTCACACAGTGAATCACGATGTTGGTACTATACTCCGTTCACCCCTAAGCTGAGACTGCAGTGGGAGGAGCTACATGTGTGCCGGACCAATCAGCCGCCTCCCTCTTACTACCTGACCCAGGTCTCTGCGCGTGAGGGTGGGGGCATGATGGCGTGGTGAAAGAGAGGCATATGACTGGTCCAACGAGCATGTAGCTTCCATTGCAGCCTTAGCTTAGAGCTGAACGAAGTATAGGGATATCGCGAAGCTGCCCAAGTTCGAGTTCGACCAAGTTTGACTTTATCGAACTTCCATCGTGATGTTTAACAAATGTTTGACTGAAGTTCAACCTTTTTGCACATGCATGAAATTTTAAAAATGAGCTGACACTACCTAGCGGAGGAGAAGTGCAATATTTGTTGGGTGAATTGCATCACTCAATCACATTATACTAACTAATGAAAGCATTAAAGGTATGTATTTTTGCTTTTATATTGTGTGAAAATCGGTAATAATTTTATAAATAATAAAATAAACGACTTTCTAAGTTGCTTGTTTCCCATAATTCAAAATCTTTGTATGGAAGCCAGGCAACGCTGTCCATAAGTCGAACCACCAATCTCTGTTAGTGAGTTGGTTCCATGAATCCACACGCACTGGCAATGTGCGAGTTCTCTCCCAGAACGCATCACACTCGCAGAGTTTCGCACAAAACCAATCCCGAACAAACTTGCCGAGTGCAAATAGCACCATTGATTAATCCTCCGACACGCTCTCACCCTCTAGAAAAATCCTCCTTCTTTTCTTTAAAGTTCCCCTTTCCACTACAACTGATAGGTCGAGCATCTGTCCGGTTTCCTTTCACCACTTCCGTCCGCCATTCGTGCCCTCCCATGTTGCGACCAGCAGAGTGTAGCTGTAGGTTCTGCCGTAGTAGGGCGAAACTAGGGACACTAGGTGCGTTGCGACGGAAACACAAACCGAAGTATGGCACCAGACAAATATCTGCCCGACGTTTCTGATACATGGCTCCAATAGCGGCAGCCTTGAAAATCCTCTTCCCCCTTGTTTTCTTTTCTTTTCTCCCCACTAGTCTTCTTTTCTTTTTTTTTCCCCATCATTCACATTTTTATTTTTCTCGGTTTCTTCATGTGTCACCTCTCAGCTTGTCAAGCACCGAACAGAAACATGTATATTCGTGCCGAACAGCTAGTTTCGAAAAACACACAACCGAGTCTACGATAAAATGTTGAATTGAGAAGAAACAAAAAAGGTTCACAGTGACCTGGAGCAATTTGCAGTTTTTTTTGTAGCCTCAAACAAAAGCATAGACATGTAGGATCTGCTGAATCAGGCACATAGCCAGGATTTTGATTCGAGGGGGAGGGGGGGGGGGGGGGGGGCGCCTGCCCATGACAAAATGCTGTATGAGGGGGAGGAGGGAGAGGAGGCCCCAGAAATTAGGAAGATTTTTTGAGGGAAAAAAGCAAGCCCTATGCCTTCCCCTGTGGCTATGTGCCCGTGCCAAATGTCTAGATCCTCCTAAGCATTTGTAGGAAGTTGATTCTTCAGTCTTTCATACTTGGAAATGTAATCGACACTTTGCTGCACTGCTCTATCTGTTTCCATGTAATGTGAGTAATTCGGATCCACTCGAGTAGATTTCGAACGTTGTTAACAGCGCATAATAGCAACCAGTGATCAGTGCAGCTTACCGGAACAGCTGGACGAGCCAGAACTATGCGAACAATATTTATGCGGCAAAGACGTCTAAATGCGACTCACATCCAAGCGTGCGAAGGCAGAGATGCAGCACTTTGGCATATGATGACACCGCGAGACTTTCATTCGACGAGTTGTTCCTTTTTTCTGCAGTGCTGCACTTTCGTAAAAACTTCCGTGTGTTTTTAAATGTAACTTTGACTGTTTACACAAGGTCTTAAGAAGCTTTTTCGGCAAACGACAACGAGAGAGCGGAAAATATGTCTTCAGCACGCTGCCACCCAGCTTCTGCAGCGCTCCAAAAGGTAGACTTCCGATACATGCAAGATGGTAGATACGAAACTTCCGGTGGCCGCACTCGTGCAACACCTTCTAGAAACTAAAACCTGTGCGCTTCGTTTTGTTACGTCAGCCACGTCACTGCTCGTAGGCCAAGCGAGGAGAGCCAGCAGAGGGTTTTCACTGTCGAGCATCTGTGACAATGCTTGGCAAAACACTCCGGATGACCCGAGGAAACACTTTTTTGTTTTTCTTTTTTAATGCTCCGTTATCTCCGTTGCGTTTGGTCTCAGCATCAAATATGGAATTGTGAAATAAGTTGTACTTGTACCAACTAAATCTAATAATAAAGAAGAAAAAAAAGATAATGCGACGTGACGATGCAATTTTATAGACGGCAGGCGGCTTACAAGCGATCGTAGAGAGCCGATGGAAACGTGGAGACAAGACGCCGCAGTATTCACTGCGTCCGTTGGCAACCAGAGTCTCTGGTGTTTTTGTGTGTGCAAATGGGAGGATCAATGCTTTATATGGGTTGTGTGCTGTGGTGTCGGGAAAATTATGCCGAAGAATCGAAGGTTCACATATTCTCCTTCCTAAACGCCGAGCAGTGGGAAGCTGCGCTGTCCAGCTGGGATCCGGACGACCAGCGTAATCTGGTCTCGCGGGCCCGTGCCGCAGCGACAGCTACAGGGGCCCTGGAATGAGGGCTCCTCTCGCCTCGGAAGAGCCAAACTTATTGTTTATTAAAAGTTTTTTCTCTCTCTCTCTTCTCAATAACCAACGAGCAACAGTATATTCAATGGATTAAGGCAATTCCGGAGAAAGTAGTTCCAGTTGCGAGCCCTTCGAAGGTATGTTGGTTTGGCAGATATTTTTTTTAACCTTGCACTCTTGTACTTCTGAAATGTCAATGTGCCCTGAAGGACGAGAGTATAGTAAACTACTTTGCTATTTTTTTTTTTGTATTTTAAAGGAGGCATAGCAATTTTTTAGAACAAGTTACCGCTTCCAAAGTGTGATGAAATATTTTGTTAGTTTTAGCAAGCAACTCACCTGCGCACAGTATTTTGCGTTGTATTCTAGGTTTTGCATCTGACATCACCGGCTATGATTTAGCAGCGCTGTCCTATTGTGACCTACGTAGCTGGATGCTTTGCCTCTCTGACTGTGAAAACATTCAAGTGTGAATACCGCAGAAAACATTTAGGTTTGGAGAAGACACTTCCTCACAATGCATGTCGTGGTTCATCAGCTGAGAGATGCTTTAAATTGAGGGGGACTGCACCTTTCAACACAACTGGTCGTCAGTGTGGTAATGCCTGATGTTGTTGTGAACAAGCTTATGTCATCCCAGCACATCGCTCAGTTCTTGCGGTTATGTGATCAATGAAAATTTGTCAGGGACCTGCTACGCTGCCAGAGTTCAAAGAGTTGGGCACCTGTGCAAGGGAGTCGACAAACTTTCTTTTTACCAATCTCTGCAAATAGAAAAATAATGCCTTAGGCAGGATGCAAGGTTTGCTCCAGCCAAAAACCAACTGTCTGTTTTCCCAAAACGTTAGCGTTGTTTTAAAAATAGTGTGAAGAAACCACATATCTCT